CCCATGCCAACCTGAAGGGATGGTCGAGACTCAAGAGACACTGAAGAAGAAGAGAAGAATAACTCTATATACTATCGATGACTGCAAGGTAGGGTAGATAATGTCCCAAAGAGCTGTGTCCAGGCTTATACCCAGAATATCTGCACGGTTGGGTAATCAAGATGAGAAGGTAGATTGATTACCACGCCTCGGTGCGGATAAACGGTATTGAGCGCAGGGCACATGTCATGTCGTTGGAGAAAAGGCTGGGTTGTCCGTTCGTTCTCGAAATAGTAGCGCGGATCTCTTTGGCTCCAGAGTCGGGTCCGAAGGGTTCGCGCGCCGAGTGTGAGGAGGACTTGGCTCAGAGAGAAAACGTGCGCCATTGCAAGTACCTATTTACTCTAAGTGAAAAAACGTGGTGGTTGGTGTTGTTTGGCAGCACTTTAGTTTCTTCATTTGGATTTATCATCAACGTGCTTTTACCCAAGTTGCCTAGTCAGAGTCGAAGCAATGTGCTATTTTAGTCCGGTCAAAGTCTCGTTTGAGGCGCAAAACATGTTCTATCTGAGTTGGGTATCGGCATGGACAAACGTTCCATCCAGAACATGTTTCTCAGCCCTTTAGAACCTTGGTCCTATTACCCCAGGTTTTTTAATTCTGGTTTTGGGTAAGGTGTCGATTCTTCAGCCCAGTTTCTAAAAACGTAGTGGCAAACATTCAATTTAACCCTTGGAAACTGGAGAAACGGTTAGAGGGATGATCTGGGGGAAGACGGAAACCAGAAGGTTAAAGTTGCTTCGACGTTGCCTCAGCGTCGTAACGGTCCAGCTATTTCGATACACTGTACTGCTTATTCTCACTAATGATCGGTATTCACTAAGGTGGCCCTTGGTATTCCCGCAGTACGAATCAACAACGTACCTAAGGATAGATGAGGCTCATATATCTGATGTCGAGTTACAGGCAGCCATAGTGGCGAAGAGACAGAGTCATGGATTCGGACTGATTAAGGGACCACCTTTTTCTTCTTTCGGGTGGTGATAGCAGCCGTTGAATATCGCTATATCATTGTGGAGGAGATGCAGCCGCGAAGAAGGAACGCCTTTCTGTGCTGGCCCGATATTCCATGGCTTCCCTGTTGCGTTCTGCTCCTCAAGAGGTGGAGGCACCTACTCCGTAAAGTACCGGTACTACGACAGGCAAAATTCATAGTCCAAGACGCTAAGTCTGACGAGCGCAGTGCACGGACATAGTAACAATCCTAGCCAGTGAGATTTGTTTGCGCATCAGAGTGAGATGCATCTTTTGCCCATTGCTCAAGAGAGGAAGGCGCCACCCACCTTGTCGTGCTTGTACCCGTACAAAGTACCCTCCACACTTCCACTCAAGAAGACGATGGAGGGTCCTCGAGTGGGGTGGCTTGCAGGGTGCCATATTGCCCGGGATCCCTTAGCGCACGACATGGGATGACCGTGCTGGGGGCTTCCAGTGGGCCGCCAGGCGAAACAGGCGATGAAAAGACGAGATTGACCTCTCCGCCACGATCCAGTGTCGCCGTGACCATCCATGCGCTTCATTGGATCTCTTGAGCCGCTGCAATCTTACTATGCTTTTCTTTTGCAGTCGCCAACTCGAGCTATTGAATCGTCCTTCATGGCAATATCAACTACCATACCGATTATATGCCTTGATGGTGCTGGTGCCCATGTCGTCTCCAGGCTAAAACTACCGAGTACGAAGTATTGTTCCATAGCAATGGTATGGTATAAACACCCCGCGACGTTACCTTATGCATTCGCCAAAAGTAATGCCGCATCGCAACTTCGCAACCCTCGCGCCGCGTCTTGTCGCGTCAAACATTGACGATAACGAAACACCTCAAAGGCAGATATATTGACACGGCATCAAGCTGCAGCAGATCTCATTGCCAACGTGGACCTTATCCGTCAGACAACAATGGCGTAATCAGTCTGTTTTGCAACGGGCAACGGCATTATAGTTTAATGTCCTTTGCATGACGAGTCGGTCATGTTCGCTGGAATGCGTTATCAACGGCCCGTGGTCTTGCTAGGCTTGGCTTCTCCTGGCAGATGGCAGCCGCCTTCAGACGACCCCGCGGAGACAACAGCCTGATAAGAAGCGCAGGCGATTGTCACTACGCCATACAGCACAAATTGACGAGTTGGACGGGGAACCCGTCAACAAAAACAACCACCTTCCATGGTGTAAACAAAAGAATACCATGGCAATTGGCGGTTGGACCGACTTTGGAGATCCTTGATGCTAGTTCGCATGAACAAAATGAGGTGGAAATGCGCACCAGCCGGACCCGAGGCCGGCAAGTTGGGGAAGCGAATTGGCTCCTGCTCTAGAGGTTGGAGGCGCAATGCTCACACTCGTCCGGCCATCCCAATGCGCTGGATCCGGATGGGGTCGCGATGATGTGATTGTCTCGTGTGCCAGGAATGCGACTGCTAGAGAGCCCCGATACTCTTTGTGCTTGTTGATCGTGATGAACGCCTTTGACGAATTCCAGAGGTGCGGACATACCGAGGAAGACTCGAATAAGACTCGCCGGTTCATGGTGGAGACATGGCCGACGATTTGATATTATTCGGGGCAGAGACATACCACGCCTTTTTCTTTACTTCGTGCTACCTGTACTACCCGTACTGACGAGGTGCTGCTCGTCGCTTGTTACACGTTTGGGGCCAAGCGCAAGCCCCAGCCGCAAGCCAGGATCACTTCGTCGGTGGACCCCTCCTTACACACCCCAGACGAGCTCCGAAATCTCGGCGACAAACGGGCGAGAGGTCTGGAGTGGGCTTGTATAGAGTACGAAGCACCATTGGACAGTTTCTTTGCCTCGCGCCCGTCAGCCGTCAGTCTCACTTTGGCCGGTGACCGACAGACTGCAGCGAACAATCGTGTCTATTCGCAGGTGTTCCATTCCGGCTGAGGGCAACGGGTGTCATCTGACCGTCGCTGCCGCACGCCCGCCCGTTGGTCGCCCGGTAACCGATGGCGAGACAAGCAACGGAGAAGATGGTGTCGGAGGCGCAAGACGATGGATGTTTTGACTGTTTTGATGTGTGCTGCCACGGAGAATTAAAAGAAGGGAAAAGAGAAGGAAGGGCGACTTGGAAAAAAACAAGGGTACCTACTACGGAGCCACTACTCAGGCTTGTCAGGGCCGGGCAGAGGTGGGAGATGATGGAGCGACCGTGCGCCGGACAGCTCGACGGATTGGACGCCTAATGTAGCTATCTGTCTGGAGCTGAGCAGTATCTGCGATACTAGATACGGGACACACGTGCATGTCATCTTAGGTTGTCGTAAGTCGTGGGAGAAAATCGCGTACGGATAGCACACAGTACGGAACAAGGCATGTAAAAAATAGGGGACGAGGAGAACGGGGCTCGTCGGGGGGTCGGGCGGCGTGGAGACGGCGGTATTGGTGACGGAGTCGCAACAGACCGGTTCGAGTCGTAGCCGTGGTCGAGGAGGATATGATGAAGTTCCGGGGGTGTGGGTTGGTTGCACTGGAAGAAGCATCGGCAAGGTGCCAAAGGCACGGCGACCGGAGGAGTCCAGGACGAAGAGAAAGAGAGCGAGAGAGACAGAAAGAAAAAAAAAAAAAAGAACATGGGCCAGAATTCACACGAAATCAGTCTGTCGACTGAGGTGCAACTGCACCCTGTCGCCGCATGCTGCGCTTGCGATGCACGTCTTAAAACTGAAGGTGCAAGTCAAACAGACGTGCAGCGCAGCAGGCAGTCGCGGCGGCAGGGAAAGAATGTGATGAGCAGAGTTTAGAGACAAACAGAAACACACGGAGGCATCGACTTGCAGGCCGGGCTGCACGTCTCTGCAGGTCTGCTCTGCAAGATGCAAGATGCAACGAGCGAGAGAGAGAATGGAGGAAGAGAGTCAGAATCGAGTATTCGGAAATGGTATTAGCTAAGCCAGGTTGCAATTATCATCTGTGGTGCGAGGCAGGCGTGAACACTGCGTGATTACTGCGTGAGGTAGGTAAGGTAGGCTGAGGATAGACAGGAGGCAGGTGCAGGCATCGTGAGTTCCTCTTGTTTCCTGCCTCACCTGCCACGCCAATGGTTGAGTTGAGTGAGACGAGGAAGGAGGAGGGATCGAAAAAAAAAAATGGCAGTTGCAGTTGCAGTCGAAATGGAAATGGCGCTCCAGCTTGTACCGGGTACTTTGGTCTGCTTTGAGTGAATGACCCGCCGCCACAAATCAGGGATAACCCCAGCTTCCAATCACTCCCACCCTGTCACCTTCTCATCCAGTCTCTGCCTCTGGCGAGCGTTTCCCTCTCATCGTCCACCACCATCCACAACCAACCGTCGTCTTCTTGACCCAGCTCTCTCACTCCATGTTGCTCGCTGCTGCCGCTGGCGAACCCTCCCTGGCGCCTCCTGTGGCAGGGTGCGGACTGCAGGGTCGACTAAGAGAGAAAATGAGCGGTGCTAAGTTGAACATGGGCGTTCTCGGGTGCTGGGGGGATGGGATGCTAAGGTAAAGAAAAGCAGTCGTACTCCGTAGTCTTGGACGATCAGGGTGTCCTTGGAGTCTGTGGGTTTTCTATCTCCTCCATGTTCAGATACTTGCAATGGCATGTTGCTGGATCATGGATGCTCCAGTCTCCAGTTTCCAGTATCTGTATCCACCTTTGAAAAGTGGGAGACTGAGATGGGGCCTCGAGTCCCTTGTCGATATTCGAACCAGCATGTCCTGGTCAAGGGTCACCCGTCAGGGAAGGCTGGCCGCTGGTCCTCTGTTCGCTCCATCTGGTGGATTGAGGGTGTGGGTGCGGGTGGGTTGATTCGACGGTGGGCTGTCTGAGTACGTACCAGCTCACTGGACATCCATGTACACTACCTATACCTTGTACCTAGACCTACCAGGTATCTAGGTATCCAAGGCCCAGAGGGAAGGAAAGAGAGAGAGAGAAGAGCGTGGGTGTGTACCTCCTCTCGTACCGCCTACCGCTCTAACCCGCGCACCACACCTCTCGGTTCTCTCACTCTCTCCCACTCCCACCGATACCTGTTACCTCCCCTCCTAGCACCGCTACCACCACCACCACCATCAGCGGCCTGGGTTGGCGACCATTTGTTATTATTAAACCCGGACCCCGTCCGACCACCCCCCTTCCATCTAAGAAAGACCCTCCTCGGTTTCCCTCACACTCCTTTCTCTGTGTCGTGCAGAGTTGTCGTGAGGAGTTTGGAAATAGCTTCCTCGACCTCGAATCACCATTCCGAATACCCTCAACCTCCTCCTTATCCTCCCGACCCGACTTCGACTCTCCTCTGTCTTCGTACGAGGAGCCCTCCGAAATCTACACCCCGAGAAAAGAGAGCCACTGTCCCCGGTGAGCTATCTCTATCTCGCTTCACGCCAGAAACACCAAGGAGGAAAAAACTGTGAGTACCCTCTGTTTGGCCACCCTTCAGGAGAACAACAACACCAGGAAACCAGTACCATGGTTCTTGACCACTGCCTTTTGCCTCTTGCCCAGCTTGTTGCCTCGTTTTTGTGACTCCTCACTACACTGCCTGCTTATCTTGCCGCTTCGTTGGAGGAGAGGAAACGAGAAGGGGAAATCTCTGCCTCGCACACTGCACTTTGCATCCTGCACCACTCACTCACTTGCTTTGCTGTTGGCTGTCATCTTCACTGTCTGCCTATGTTTGCCTTTGCCTGTATCATCTGTCACTCACCACCGTCGGCCGCCCCGTGTTTTCGAGAGTTGGCAACACCACTTCACATTCCCCTCGTTGTCCTCGGCGTCTTGTACTTCCCCCCTCAAATTCCAGCGTTGTGAGACAAAACCGCTCCTGCAGCATCTGCAACGGGGATACATCGCTCGTGGTCCCTCTCACGAGCCTCCTCACTTTTTCCGACTGTGTTGCCTGCGCAGAGTGTCGCAACGGCGCTTCTTGTTCTCCTCGACTTCTCACTCCGAATTTCCCACCCTCACCTGCCTGAAAAGCACTCAGCCACGCATCAACGACATACTAACCCTCCTCGTACAGCCTGCGGTGAAACCGGTCACGACTGGCCTTCATCGTCCGACCTACCAGCGATATCTGGTTCTATAGAAGAACGATACCTTCTACGACCATATTAGGCGCCGATACTCGCCGTTTCCCTCCTTTTCAACCCCCAAGATACCCATACCCTGTACTCCGTCTGCCCCTGATGCGTCCTTGATCATGGATTCGGAAGACGGGGAGTTGTTCATAAAGGTACGCTACTATGGAAGAGCCATGTTCTCATGTCTTTGCCGCCTGGTCTGATGTGCTGCTTGTACTAACATTGTCGTCTACAGCAACTGGCCAGCTTTGTGCGCACGCACGAAAAGGCTCTCGCCAACGCCTTGCAATTCCGAAGACAGGCTGCCTCTCGCCATGGCTCCTCTCAGAGCGTCAGCTCCATTCCCACGCCTCAATCACCGGTCGTTCCCGAGAGACCCTCGACTTCGGCCTCAACTTCGAGCGGACTCGCGTCCGCTCTTTCCCTCGGTTCTCTAAACTTCACCTCGCACACTGTCAAGTCGGCGAAGCTAGCTTTGACGCCGCACCATCTGTTTTACCTACTATCTCGATTCGAAGAACTCGCCATTCCCGTTGGTCCCATGAAGATTCGTCTCGAGAACCTACACGATAGCTCAACATCCGCCAACTATGTCTCCTTTTTGAGCAACACCCAAAGATCCCGAAGCCGCGGCTCCGATGTTGGTTCTATCCATTCCGTATCTAGCGTTCGAAGCGTCATGTCAGGCATGTCGGCACTTTGGACGAGTTTTGGCATCGGCGCGAGCATTTCGGCCGCCCGAACCGAGCGGCAGAAGGCGGCCACACAGGCCGACCTGAAATACCTCTACTCGGCCTTCACCAAAATCCCTTGCCTTCGCCTTGCCCCCGACTGGCGCGCCCGGCTGATTCGCGGCTACGAGGAGTTCCCATTCGACTCAGCAGTACCGCTTTATGTCTTCAAGAATGTCCAGGCCCTCGAGGTGAACAGCATCGACTTCCGACAATTCTTTGGGTGGGACCGCATGGCCGAGCAGCTGAGATCGCTGACGCTGAAGCGCGCTGGTGTTGAGGACCCTGCGGATATCCTGATTGACATTGTGCTTGACGATATGGACAAGCGACGGAGAAGGACGTCGAAGCAACAATCATCGCCCACTACCCCTTGGCCCGCAAGTTCCAGCCCTCGCAGAAGTCCCACCATTCCTCACGCTGAACTTCACAAGTCACCCTCAATGCCGGGCTCACCAGACCCGCGCAATTCGATTGGTGACCTGGGCATTGGTTCTCTAAGCACACAAGACCATGCTGTGGATGATGTTCACGGTGAAGGCAGACGGCCATCTCTGGCTCGGGCGGAAACGTTCGAAGCCATGTCGCCTCCAAAGGGATCTAGACCGCGTAGCAATTCACCTACTCGCCCAGTCAGCTCCCGCAACCCCTCCCACATGAGAGGAGGTCACAAGGTTCGTCGCTCCGGCTCTGGCAGCTCGCATTCGAGTCTTTCGGACTCGTGGCACCACAGCCGCGCCAACAGCTCCTCGAATCTTTTGAGCATGGGTGTTCTTCCAGCATCAAAGTGGCGGTTCTTGAAGCACCTCAGTCTGGCCGACAACTCCATGACCTCCATCCCTGCCACCAGCTTGGTTCCCCTCGCAAACACCCTTCACTCCCTGGACTTGTCATCCAATCTGTTCACTCAGATCCCCGACAGTCTGGCTACCCTTACCGCACTTCGCGCACTTAACCTCTCACACTGCATGATCGATGGGCTCCACTCCCTGACGCGCAATCCCCTCCCGGCCATCTCGGCTCTTAACCTCCGCGCCAACCGCCTGCAATCCATCGCCGGCATTGAGAAGCTCTATCCTCTTGAGCGATTGGACCTTCGCGACAACCGTCTGTCAGACCCCATGGAGCTGGCCAGACTCACTGGAATCCCTGACATCCGGGAGATCTGGGTTGAGGGCAACCCCTTCACCCGCACCCACAAGGATTACCGTATCACAATCTTCAACCTCTTCCGCAAGACCCCGGGCTACACCGAGGACGTTGTCATTGACAACTGCGGTCCCACGTATTCGGAGAGGAGATACTTGGTTGAGCGTACTCCGGTGCCCGCCGCCGTGCCGGTCGTGAAGCCCGCTCCCGCCGACATCCCGGCTGTTGACGTCAGCAAGCCAGCCATCATCTACGACATCCCCAAGGAGCCCTCAGTTCTCCGCAAGGAGCGTCCAGTCCCCAAAGCTGTTACCAGCGAGGTGAACACTAGCTCTACTCGCCGCCGTAAAACACCAAAGAGACGGATAGTAGACCTTTCTACCACGGATGCCTCTGTGACGGTGACTCCTGGTATCGTGCCGTCACCCCCTTCGGACGTCAAGGTGCTCGCCTCCGATGCCACAGCCACCGCAGTCGGTTCAGACACCAACAACTACCGTATTTCGCAGGCTCCTGAGATTCCTCCACTTCCCTCTGCCATTCTGGCCGACAATCGAAAGGCCAACTCCCAACCTGAAGTTCCCCGCATAGACACTAGCGTGGTTCCCGAACTTCCCCCCATCTACACAACCCGCGATGCTCCGCCAGACTCCCAGGACTGGGATGTCAGCGGGGAAATGTACCGCCGTAAGATCGAGGCATTGCGGGACAAGGTTGGGAATGGCTACCTCAGTGTGCTCAGTGAGGAGGGCTGGGATCCCTCTCGCCCGCCAACATACTTGGTGCCAGACTTCAGCCCAGCCTCGACAGTTCGTCCCAGTCCTACTACCCCTCGGACTAACTCCCATCACCACCCCGCGGCCATTCATAGTGGCCGCACCCTTGGCTAAAGGAAAAAAAAAACTTGCCCTTTCTACATGATACCCTTCATGATACCCCCACCCCCCTCTTGAGGTTCGATTCTATTGTTGGGCTGCTTTCTTGACTTCTCCTTCTGCAGCATTGCACATGGCATTGCCACGAGCATGGACGTTGGCTTCACCTCCAACCATTGTGTTATTCGTCATTTTTCCCCAGCATGGTAGAGCATAGCGTACAAGGCGTTTTGGTTTTGGCGGTCGACTGGTTTCAGTCTCCGCATTTGTCTCTTGATACTGATTGCACCGCCTGAGGTGGTAGAAGGCCACAGTAGATCTTGTCGCTTTCCCGTCTGTTTGGTTTCTTGGCGCGACCTCAACACAGAGGTCTCTCTCGGGCATCACGGGGATGGGAGGGATAAAAAGCGAGTGACATTGGGCGCGAAGGCATCTTCTTTCTTCTTCTCTTCTTAAGACTTGTTTACCTTTCATATTGCAGGCTTCAATTTGGCGTTGGCGGAAACACATGTCGAGTGGCTTTAGTCATTTCTGGTTTCATGGGGCACGAAAAAAATCCCGCATGAGTTGCATTGTGTGTTTGGTTATGGTAGATGAATACTTGTCCATAAGACAAGCTGGTGGATGGCTTCTAATACATGATGAAACGCATACTTCATTGACGATGCTTCCTTCGCTGTGCCTTGCAATGTGATGTACCTGTGACACGTTCATTGTTCTTGGTGGACAAACCTAGTCTGCTCGATCTAAAAGACAGTGGCCTCCAATGATTGAAGCCCCATCTTTTGCTGTCGTATATGTTGTCCTGGGTCATGTTTGGGTCGAAGACTGTGGCCAGCTCTCCCGTCAAGCCGACTAACTGAAGAAGTGGCCGCTCAAAAGTAAAATGGCAGACTCGGATAATACAGAACTCAGTGAACTCATTTGCAGATATGGATCGCCTTGGGAGGGGGCTCCCGCATGGATTACCGTTCAGCCGCAACTCGAGAGGAAACGATTGTGTTTGCATGCAAGGAAAATGATGAGCCATTCTCGAGGAGAAGAGATAGTTTCGAGTAGAGTGGATAGTGCTGCGTTCCTTACCTGGGCAATGGCAAGGCGTAAGACGCGTACATCTGAACTCTGACCTTGCGTTCGGTCTCTTACTTGCGAGTCGCTTGGACGGGTGCTTTGGTGACTTTTGTGGTCTGCTGACCTTGTCTCTGAGGTAAGGTCTATTTTCCGGATCCTGTGACTCCTTTTTTTGATGATTCAGGTGTCGTTAGCTTCCCGGGATACTCTATTGAAATACCTGAGAGATATGTTACGAGGTGTGCAGCAGTCAATGTGTCTTCCAGCTCTCGTAGAATACACGGGGGGTTCAGACTGATGAATGACACTGCGCTGAAAGTTCGGTTGCCATCTAGATCAGGGGCTGTATGTGGGCCTTCGTATTTGGGTTCGTAGGGTACTTGGCTTTCCTGATTTCATGCCATTCCGACGTCTTCATGGAGATTTGTCTTGAGGATTGCGCTGTCAAGGATAAGATGGCGATTGCGGGTGATTGCAATGATTCTTGACGAATTACTTATGAGGGTATTGAGAAACTTCATGGGTGCGATCCTTGGTTGGCAAATGGCCTGCCTAGCCTCGTGCCCTCTGGTAGTTTGATTCCCAGAATTTGAAGTCAAGGCAAGACCGATTGAACGCACGCTTTCTCTAGGGACCTACCTGCCTGGCCGATATTCGAGAGTGAAAACTGTGATAGAAAGGGATCGATGAGCCAAAAAGGAGACCCTGTCGTGAAACATATTTCTCTCGGAGTCTAGTTGATGATGAGACAGTGTTCGCTTCTGTCACAGCTCCGATGAAGTGTGTTCCTTTACAATTCACCAAAGCTACGTCTGGCACTCCTGTAGCTCAAAGTCCTAACCCGTAAGACGTCGCATCCTAATAAGGCGTTTGAATACCTTCCCTAGACAATCATCGCTGCCGGTAACAGAGAGCCCGGCCAAAACAAAATAAGACCACCCATAAATAGGTTGGGCCATCTTCTGCAAGTTTATTGCAACCATCGGCTTCAGACGTCAGTAACTTGGAGAGCTGAACTACTCTTCTCTACAAGAGAGCTGGTTTCTTCTCAACTCCATTTTAATCGTCATCTGTAGCGATACTGTGTCTCCCAGCGTGGACTACGATTATATATGGGGTAGCCCTATTATTTGTTTCCATATCGTACCTGCATGACTCCGAGAGTGATGTGATACTACTGTTGTCCCATGCCTACCTATCACAGCGTTCTAACCGCGGCGGGAACCCGTGGCGTGAACCAGCGATCTGTTTTGATTGAATTTGGTCAGGATGGTGGGCATGAGAGCAAAACTGCTGCGTGGGATGGAGTGATCTGTACGAGATGGCGGTGAGCAGTGTTAGCCAATGCTAGGACTGTTTCGATCGAAGTAGCCAGCATGTGCGTCATCCTTCCAAGACAGAAGACTAACTTCATCAAGACGAAGGACGTAATGCTAGAAGAGCCGATGGCAACAGATGTATCTCTGGAAAACTTGCCAAAGCCGGTGGAAACGGGTCCAAATCAAATCGTCATGGGTTGTGTCAGAGGAAGCAGCGCTTAGTCTGTTCTTCCCAGTGCGCAGTTGCTCTAGGTGGCCTGTGGTTGGGATCGCCGCGGCTGAAGGAGATGCTTCTACCCTTTTGGATCGGATCTCTTCAAAGTTAATGAACGTTTGTTACTGTTTGCTGCACATGGTGGGGTTGCCGGAACTAGACGACGCCGGTTTTTATACTTATAGTAAGATCGCAGTCTCTGAACTGCCTCGCGTGGTCTATGACAAGGACCTCGAAACATGATCAAATTAGTCCGTTGACTATTTTGGAATGGGGACTTCCCCGTATCCTAAATAGTACACTCATGTCGGGATTTTGGAAGTCCTGACACCTCATCGTAAGCGGTCAGTTCGACCACGTCATTCTTTGATACAGAATAGCATCTTCTCATCCGTTGAAAGTCATGGGCAATATTCACCATCAAGATTGAGAAGTTTCTCGGCTAACTGTATTCTTGAGTCCTTAGATCTTTCGACAATGAATTTTCCCTCGATTCGAGCTATAAAAAAAAAAAAAAACTCACACGAAGGTGAAGGTGTGCCTGTCAGAGCATGCTAATGATACAGCAAGAAAATCTTTAATCTCGGGGATAGTTTCGAACCAAAAAGAGAGATCTAATTACAACTATTGGAATTCTTAGCAGCGTTTTGAACACACAAGTACTTGTCAGAGAGGTACTGCCGAAAAAGGACAGAAAGGATAAGACATGAGAGAAGCAAGACTTGGGTCCATTCGATGGCCTATTTGATGCCAATGAGCTACAGACTGGACCCCGTAAGATGAAGCCATCTTGTTGAATCTCATGCATTCTCTTCGAAACTTGTGATAATGCGAGAGCTCGTTCCACACGCACTAAGAGCCATAAAGATGACACACTTCCTGCTAGAGTCTTGCAATGAATACGAGAAGCTGTATCGTGCCCAGGAGACTGCGTCCCGGTTGTCGTGGCGAAGAGTGAAATGCTGTAATCGGCCAGGGCCTGTGAGGATGCTGGTGATGAACCCGAAAAGGGACGCAAGAATTGGAATGCTGCAGAAGATGTAAGTCGACGGCCGGTGGTACAAACTTGTCAGATACATCCATATGCTAGAGTAATATTTGCTGGGCAGCTGTGGTGTGACTGGGACTGAGAGGGCAGTTAACTGCCTGGAATCTAGCCTAGACAAGTCTTGTTGCTCATATGCCTTTACACTATTTGCGAGCACCTTGTCTTCAAGCGGGAAACTCGTCTCATTAAGGCCTTGACAGTTTCAATGCATGTGCAGTAGCTCGGAAGAGCCTGCTCTTCTCATGACTGATTCAGTCTCGAGTCATATCTGAAAGCAGAAAGGTGTATTGGATCTTCTGGCGTCATCCAATGTAAGTTGCAGGTGAAGTACTAAACTATGATCTGTGTCTACAGATTGTAAGCTAATGCCCTTTCTGGCGACGCGAATAATCATGGAACCACACCGTACGCGGATCACATTGACCACAATTTTTCGCTGTATTTCAGCCCCCATTTCCTCAAGATGAAAAGAAGACATCAAATGGAGTATGTCTGATGGGATCAGGAGCGCTCTCTTTGCTATGCGGTGGCGAGGAATCGAAACATTCCTGCAGCCTTCATCAGTGGATAACCTATCCTGTGAAGTATCTGGAGGCCATTCTTCAACAGATGACAGTATGTGAAATTAGTAATCTGGATGTGTCATGAACTCGGAAGACCAAGGCTGGAAGTGTTGATGGCAGCTACGATATACCTGACTGAGGAGGACCGATGTAGAAGGATAATCCACGTCAGGACTAGACAAGCACCGCGAACGTCGTCTGGCGTACCACGCGCTGGGGAAAATTCGAGACAGTACAGATACAAGGAGGAGCGAGTCTTTGTTCAGACTTGCCATAGCGAGAACCTGGACCAAACAGGGCGACCAACTTGACATAAGAAAGGCGTCTGCTTGGTTTTGAGTGGCGATCTTTACGATTTGACGGAATCCGTCTTAGTATCTCCCCCCAGCAGGCAATCCACAACGGTCTTCACCCCATAACCCAAACAATGTTAGGGCTGCTACAGCGTTGCGAGTGGTAAGCAACAAATGAAAGGTTTAATCTTATCATGCTGGAGCCTGTGCCGATCTCAAATAGGAGGGCCCTATAATAGAGTGGTACGTCGAGAAAGAAAAGGCCGGGCGCGAATAACAAAAGCTACTGCAGTCGACTGAAGCCCTAGCTATTATTAACGAAGTGCGAAATGTGTACGAGTAGAGAATCGATCAAAGTAGGCCGTGGAAATGCTCCCAGAGGGTCGGGTCTGGGTAAGGCAATGTATCTCCGGAATCGGCAATTCAATGACGATGATGAATGGTCTGTGAGTGCGCTATTCGACGAAGACCGTTTGCGGTAAAAGAACTCGTGTACAGACCCGGCTATGTTCAGGATGTGAAAACCCGCAGCATCTGCAGCGCCATGTGCTGCGCTGTGATAGACAAGTCTGTGTGGTGGCAAGCCCAGATCAAACATCGATCGGCCTTCGCCCATCTTAGAAAGATGAATGCTAACAGGATAAGATTCAATAAGACAGCTTGAGATGAGGAGGCTGCTGCAGGGGAATTGGAATAACTGAGCAAGACTCCTGGGTGCGTAAAGTATTTATGAGCACGGGGTTTGAAGTGCAAATACTGTACTGGATGGCGTGCGAATGAACGGTATTGTGTTGCGATTTATGTGTGGCTTTGGGCAGTGCACCATCCGATGATGCGACGATGTAGGTGTGGATTTCCGTAATGAGACCAGTAGCCACGAGTTCAGAAGGGCGCGGGGAAAAGGAGAAAAGAACCAGTCCTTCCGAACGAGCATTTTCTGGGGGCCGATTGCGACTGTATCGGAGCGGGGGATTGTACTGGATGGGCATCCATTTGTGTCAGTGCCGGGCCGGCCTTGGCACCGACGCAGTTCCTTCCGAGCCGGCTTTGGTTCCGGAAGGCAGGAAGGGCGGCGCCGATCTGGTTGCAGAAGGAGCAAGGAGCATTCTGCAACAGAAAAAGACGTTGGAAGGAGGCACCGAGAATGGCACATGTAGCTCTGCTCATAACTTAGCAACTGTTCCTGTTTTGGGTATTTCTATCTAACTACCTTGGTAACTTCCAGGCTGCAATCAATAAGATAACCTTCTTCTGTGCATCTCCCAACCAAGCAACCGAGATGCTTCATTGTGGCATTTCCCACCCGTTACATCGTCCGTGTTATGCAGTATCGTTCGCCACCATCACTCACCATCACCAACTTTACGGTGTCAATACATGATGCACCTTCGCACCTTCTAGTTCAATCTAAACTTCATTCATGCGTATCAACTGTCGTCTCCAATGCCTACCTCAATCAATATCAGCGCCTCGGTAAGCCCTGGACCATCGCAATCGCAAAGTGTAACCGAAGCTAACGGTAGTATTGACGAAAATTAGAACGCCGCGCAGAATGTCATCCAGGTGCTTAGTCGATTCAGCCCCAGCGAACGATCCTCCGGGAAGCACGCACGGCACGTTAGTCGATTTGAGGGGGATGGTGCCTTACCACGCTGTCGGAACCATTCCAATCGAAGCACGTTGTCTCAATGGATTAGTCGCCTACGCCGATGTGAGATGGAAATCTCCGGTCATGTCGGCCCCAAGGCCCAGGGAAAAGGGAGAAGAATGATGGTTTCACATCTTGGACACGCTTCTGCAAGCCTCGCCCGTCTCGCGTGCTCTCACTGTAGGCTGGGGGCCCAGCAGATTCTAGCCAAGTCTAGCCCAGCCCAAAGACGTTCGGCCGAGCCGTGGCCTCTGAAGGTCCAGCCACACCTCCGGCACTCGCCCTACGGCGAGCTCATGCATCTTATGCATGGCAGACAGCCACCAGTCCAGGGTCACAGTGAGGTGACAGGGCAGGCAGCAGACGCCGCCGCTAAATCGCAAAAGCATGTCTCGGGGCCTCTTGCTTTTCTCATCCAACGCTAGCGAGCGGTGGCGCCACTGGCTTTGGAGGCTTGCAAAACATTGATCCAGCTCCACGATGAATGCCATGCTTCTTCTCTGCATGAGCTCTGCAAGAAAGATCTGCGAGACGACTGCTTGGCTGCGAAGTGTCTGTGCCACGCACATGGGGGGCCATCTATTCGTACGTCTGAACTTTGAACCTCATCAAACGAGCCTTGAATAGCGTCGCACACCAGTGCTTCATCACATCGTACACACGGAGACAAGTGGGTGACAAAATCGATTTCCTGTCATTCATCTTGATGTGTACCGCTTTCACTACTCATATCATCATTACTATCCATTATCAAAAGGCCTTCTTATATACGTAGAGAAATACACTCTGATTTAAAAGATAGTTACCTCGGACCTCTTGGGGTCGAGCTTGCAGTAGACTCGGCCGGCATGGACCTACTATCTCCGTCTCTCTGATGTGCTGCGAAGCGTTATATAAGCCGGCGGCGCCGTTCTGGTTGTCTCTAGGCGCATACCGCGCACATGGGCGTATTGACCCCCATGCTGTCCCGTCAAAGCCGTTTTGGGCCTGGACCTGGTCTTGTCTGTTCTGCTGGAACGGGACATTAGGGTCTCGCCTTCTTCAGAAGATCAGGAACAAAGGTGAGTCAATCTTGGTTCGCCCACCCCCTTGAACACGACTTTGGGCCACTCTCAAATTCTCCCAACCTGACTTGATCCAGATGACACGACGGGGGCCCGGATTTCCCATTGCTCCCGTCTTGAAGGAAACCCCCCCTTGCCCTACAATGCGGTCCTAGCTTTAAGCTGAACCCTGCGTGGCCCACTCCCCCCCTCCTCCTCTCAGAGTTCCCCTGGTCTGCATCCTCGACCCTCTCTCTCAGAGTCCCCGCTTCGCATCGCATCTTGGTTGCGCGACTCGACTCGCCTCGAGCTTGTTGACCACCTTGACCTTGCCCTTTGCCTCCAGCTACAGCTCAACTTTGACTCCACGACCCTGCTTCCCTGAAGGGCTCCAGTCCAAGTAGCTCGCTCACCCCAGTCCCCCGACTCCCCCGTGTCCGCTTCACCTGGCCTGGCTTACGTTGGGCGTAACAAGCGCGCGTCCTTCGTACTTTTGCCCATTTTTTGATGAGTCTCTTGGACTGGTCGATTGTCCCATATCCGATCAAAGTCTCGCCCTTCCCTCCCTCGCCCGCCCAGTCCTCTCTCTACCCTTTCCTCATTCTCGTCCGGCCTTGCTCTACTTGTCTCTCACCTCCACGTCCACGTCCGTCCTTCCACCCGTCGTTCCCCGCCATCGCCGATATCCGCCTGCCGTAACGGCGGTCCCCTCCATCTCTTTCCCATACCATACCATCCCACCGGTCTTGTCCTGCCCAGCTTGGAGTCCAGTTCTCCCTCCCCAGCCCTATCCTCTCCTGCTCACCCGCAGCAAGCCAACCCGGCGCGGCATAACACAAGTTGAGATCTGCTGCTTCCCTCGTCACATCTCATTATCACGTACCTTGGGGTGTTGCCCTTTTAAAGTAACAACCCCCCATACCCGAAAGCTCAAGCCTCCCCACTTGCGGTTATCCTCGCCTGCCCATCATCGTCCAGCGAGCTTGCTTGTCTGTCGTCGGAACATGTCAGAAAAGCTTGCTTGAAGAAACGACCCTTACTAGCTTCCCGCCCCCCGGGGGCAGAGCACGGAACCGTCTCTACGGCTGCGGCTTCCGCACCCTCATCTCACTACCCGCTGTCTTCGCCCGTCATTCCCGTCAACTTACTGCAGTGAGAGGGAAGCATAAGCATGCCTATGCTTACACGTATCCGCACCTGCTGTCTGCTGCTATCCGCCTCTCTACAGTTCATCTTTCGGGACAGCTTGTACACTTACAGTCACCTGTAGGCTATAGTGTATACCCTCGAAACAGCTCCCGCCTAGTTCCGCCCTCCCCCGCCATCCCCGCCGCTGCGACATCTTTGGTCTTGGTGCGGCCGCTGCTGCTCCCATCTCCAACTCCACATCGTCTTGTCGTCGGATAACGGGCATCATCCAGGGTCCATGGACTGTCGGCTGATGCATCAACATCCTCGACAATGACCCGACCAAAGGTCCCAGATGACAAGCGCCAACGGACTGCACAGGCCTGTGACACGTGTAAGCGACGAAAGCAAAAGGTAAGCATCCTCTTTTCCCCATCCCCCACGTTCCTGATGCGCCCAACTTTTGTTTTTTGTTCGTGGTAGAGCCCGAATCCAAGCCTGGCCGAAAAAACCAGCACTATCATCACCCTTTGTTGTCGTTTCTTCCCACCTTGTCCTACCTACTCGCTTCCCAGTCCATCACATTTTACCCTAGCTGTCATCTTGTTAGTGCTCTCAGTACCGGCATACCTAGAGCCCCCTCCGTGGCGTTGCCAAAACGTCTTGACAGCTCCCCACCATTTCCTCGCGCCGGTCTCGGCTAGTTGCCAGAAGACCCAAGTACAATCCCATTCCAATTACCATGAATGGGAGTTCAGACTGCCCATCATTGAAGATCCTAGCTTATGTATCGGGAACCATCTCTTGTTGGGGAATTCTCCGATCCGATATGGCGACGGATCCTCTTACCGCGTTGATCGTGGCCTCACAATTCGACAAAAAATACACTTTAATCGTGCAAGCTCCCCTCTCTGCCTTGATTGTCAATGCTACATTGCCAACTAAGTCCGGTCCATCCAAGTGGGTGGTGGGCATCCATGCAGATACACCATTCTCCATCTGTTTTCCGAGCTGTTTCTTGCAGCACATTTCGCACTCGTTGCTGAATTCGCTGGACCCTTAAACGGGGCATCTCTTCCAGCACCCGGGGTGCCCCTCGTCAGAGCGTGTCTTTGTGGGCAACCCGACGATCTGGTCACAGACTTCCCAGGACCATTGGTTCATCCCATGAAGTGCCCCAGTACCGATCTACAACGGGTTACCGCCTTGCCGGTCTCGTGTACACCGCATCCCGGTCTGTCTGAATGGCCTCAAGCTCGGCAAGTGCTAGCTATTTGCAATTTTCCGAGACCTTGTCCGGCTCACCTCCCGCATCACGTTAGTCGCCAAGTCACTTTCCAGTTGCTGACCGAAACTTGACAGTGCAACGGTGCTCGCCCTTGCGGCACTTGTACCAAGAGGAGTCTTCAGTGTACATACACGACTAGCAATGGCTCCGAGCAGACCGCCCCGGACCAATTAGCTTCTCCTTCCAAGCGTCGCAATATTGAAGAACTACCGACGGTGAAGCCAACAGCCCCAGATGGCTCACTCACATCTGAGAGCCCCGCGGCGGCCACGACCCCATGGGACTCGAGACCGAACCAACCAGTCAACGACGCGAAACAAGCCGCCGGGTCAGATATAAAGCCATCTATCGAACAGGACCATGAAATGCTGGGAGTAGACCGGGAGTTCGACATCCGCTCCAGGCACAGCACCGCTTCGGGACCTGATGAAGAGACCTCGCTCATGCAATCTACCAGAATGTTGCAGGATCCTACAGGCAGACTCCGTATGTATTCTATGCCAGGGCGTTGTGTTTATTTTGTTACTAATCATACGATCAGTCTACGTTGGCGACTCGGCCTCGTTGGCTTACCTACAGCTCATACGAATGATTGTTGAGGCGAGCGTTGGGCCCAGCGACTTTACCCTGGACCCTAGCCGCCATAAGATCATGGAGGCGACCAGTGCAATCCCGGATAACATTCGGCCTCCACATATCCTGCCGGACAGGGATACAGCCAACGCTCTGCTGGACTCCTTCTTTACGAACGTATGCGATTCCCCAGAGTACTTGGTACGACGCTTATGAAATTTGGCCACTGACTTGCTATAGACTCACGGCCTGATCGAGGTTTTTAACAGAGCAGCATTTGAGAAGTCCGTGGAAGCCTGCTACACAGATCCATTGGCGGCGCAATCTTCTTTCCTCTGCTTATTGCATTTGACCTTTGCTATCGGCACCGTCTTGGGGACACCACTTCCCGGTAGCAAAGAAGACGTGATTTTCAAAAAGCTCCGAGCAAGTCGATATGACCGCGCCGAGCTATTCTTCAGGAGTGCCAAAGCTCTTGGCGACCCCATTTCCGGATTCGAAGATGCGGACTTTTGGTCTGTGCAGGCACTGTCATTGATGGCTGTCTATATGCTAGCGATATCCAAACGTAACGCAGCATACGCTTACTTTGGTGAGGCCAAAATCACTTATTCCGTGCGGAATGTCATAGCTAACGCTTTCATTATAGGAATGGCGGTCCGTTCTGGCTTTGCGCTTGGCTTACACAGGGTCCACGAGAACCACTTTATTTTCAATGGCGAGGAGATTCGGCTCCGCCGTAACCTCTGGAGAAGTCTATTCGTTCTCGATCGGTTTCTCGCGGCATCACTAGGCCGACCGGTCGCCATTGACGAAGAAGAGTGCTCTGCAGATGCGCTTTTGGTGTTTGAAAAAAACTCCCAAGGGGAATTGATCCGTGTTACGGATCCCGATGATGGGCTCGACGCCGCCGTGCGATCCTGTCGAATTGTTGGGCAGATTCTCAAGAAGATCTACGCCCGCCGGCGAATTTCGGTCCGCCTCGCTCAAGAGATCTGGGAGCAGTGCAACACCTGGTACACTACTCTGAGCCCCGAATTGGCGGGTGGACGGGTGGCCGCCGATCCCAACAACCCCGCGCAGGGCATCGCGGCTCTGCATGTCAACCTCTTATACTGCCACTCTATTCTCTTACTGACTCGTCCATTTTTCCTCTGTCTTTTGAGTAAAGTCCACGGCGAGCGAAGCGGCCTTGCTCTCCCGGTCCCCCGTTGGATCAACCGCATGTCGAGGTATTGCGAGGCATGCTTACACGCTTCTAACCAGACAATCATCTACGTGCAAAAGGCATTTGAGAGCAACTACCTCCCTCAACGAAACCCCTTTGTTCTGTATGTAAATACGAAATGGTTTACAAACCGTATTGTGCTAACATCTCCCCCAGCTACTTCCTCTTCGCAGCGTCACTCGTTATCTTGAGTAACGAATTTGCATCTATATACCCCAACCCGACTTACGCGGCCTCGATATCTAATACAATTGCTATTATGCGGTATTGTGCTACCAGCGACCCGCAGGCTAGTCGACTCCTCTTCATCCTCACATCTTTCCGCAACGTCGTCTACGAATTACAACAGAAGAAGACCGAGCAGCCAGCCATGCCCGCGCCCCCGATGCTTTCCCCCACATCCCTCAACGACCCTATAGGCACCATCTTCAAGTCTTCGCGTAAGAATTCGCTGGCCGCCACAGTATCGGGCATGACAGGAAATAAAGCCAAGCCAATGGCACCACCGCCGCTGTCAATGAAGACGGACCATAGCTTTCCTACGTCTACAGGCCCGTCAGCCGTCGCCTCGCCGGCCGGTAGTACCCCCAGCATGTCACAGGGTGACCAAAGTGCGCGGATGGGCGGTGACTCGGACACAGGTGATGGAGAGCTCGAGTTCGATCAGCTTTGGGGCTGGTCAGCTGTGCCCAACCCAGGATCTAGAGGGCCTCTTGCATCGGGGGCAGCGGTGCCAGCTGGCGCCGGAGTACCTCCCGTCGCGGTAGCCGCGGTTGCAGCTCCGAACGTAAACGCACCTGTGTTTTCTGCACAAGGCCCCGGCCAGCAGCAGTTTCAAGGCTTCGCGAACTACGTTGTGCCTGGCGGTCCTAATGGTGCTGCGGTGCCAGCGGCCGGGCCTCCGGAGTACACGGCCCCCAGTGTACCAATGTACGTTCCGGCAGAATACTCCTAGTATGGGTAGTTCTGGAAGCATTTTTGGGGCACCTGGTCTGCAGTGGATATGACAGCCAGCAGCGTATTTGTCGGGCCAAGCCTGAGGGCACAGAAAAGTGATTTTGGAGGAAGCAAAGATACCCAGAGGACGACGAGGAAGGCAATCATTTCTATTCAACAACAAAACCTAGATTAGGGGGAAACGAAGGGGTGCTAAACGTCATGAGTTGACTTCTGATTCGTTTCGGAGGAACCATTACGACGGATACTGTATTTTACTACTACGAGGGCCGGGCTACCGGTCGCGATGATAGAAGTTGGAGACTCGGGGGGAAAAGGGACGAATAATGCCAAGCAACAAAGTTAAGGGGGAAAACCACTGAAGGAAAGGCTCTACGTCGGGCTAGAGAATACCAAAAAGTTTCATGTTATTTGCTTTTATTTCGGCAACCGACGAGAAGCAAGGCTGCGTGTCTGGCTAGATCCTAGATTACCTTTGTAGCTACGGACGATTTTGGATTGCTCTTAATTGTCACTTCTGTCAATTTTCTAGGGGTTTTGCTTTTGGCTCAACTGCGAGATAGGCCCGCAGTCGACTTGATGCTGCCCAGGATCTCGCCGCAAGGGGGGTAGGGGGTGTTCTATCATTCAGGTATATTTTCTATAGCCGGCGGGTTATTGGCCCCCAGGAACCGGCTTGCTATAGTCGTCGTCGTTGTCGCGGTCGTTGCCGTCCTCGTCCTCGTCGCTATCAAGGGGTCAAGGACAGGGGAGAGATAAGGTGGGACCGGGTCGAAGAGGAGGAGGAGGCGGTCGTCGGCATTTTGCCTAGAGATTCGACCAAGGTAATCTCGTCGACGAGAAGGCTCGAGGGCGGAGAGTATCGTGGGAGGAGTTTGGTTTCGTTTCGGTTCGATTCGGTTCGATGTCGTTGAGGAAAAGTACCTGGGGCGAGTTAGTTCGTCTAGTTGAGTCAGAAAGTCTTCACTGGTGGCCACTCCGTTGGAACGAATGTGTACGGAGGTGCGTCTCGGGTCTGGGATGAAGCTCGTCAGATGATTGAGATATAGAGATCGATCCCTTCGTCAGAGAACCACAGACCCGATATGCTCAAATTCTGGAGGCAGACGTTAAGAGATCACAGCTCAACGAGCGCGGAGTAGAAGCAAGAAGACGAACGATATGGTAGGCTAGATGCGGCTACTCTCTTCTCGTTTTCGGGAACCCCATCTAGTGGCTAGATTTACTATGGGAAACCCAACTCGGTACCTTGGTCCTTAGCTGGTGGTGCTTTCGACCGGCCGGCCGTCAAAACTCCGAGCCGGCCGGCCCGGACTCCCTACCCCCTTTTCGCACCAGCGGCTTGACGGCACCCGAATATCCTCAACCTGCGCCATCTGCGAATACTGTGGACTTGAGCCGCAACGTTGGGGACCGGCTTAGGAACAAAGTTTCCGGCACCAATGAAGCGCGTGGCCGCCACAGCGCTCTGGCGGAGTCTAGACTCCCCGTTGGGACTTGATGCGTGGCGTAGATGGCGGTCCCTCGGGGGCCACGAAGAGGGCTAACGCATATCTAGCGCCAGGAGCATCAGCCCTGTAGCGTTGATTCAACTGCTCAGCTGGCCGACACTCTATCAAGACACACCAATGCGGTTGGAGATGAGGCTGACAGCTGAATTCCGTCCATGGTGTCATTTCCCCTGCGGACACCTGCGGTTGTTCACGATTCTTAGTTTGTACGACGACGTTGATATTATCAGGGACTTCAATATTCAATTGGGAGCCCGAGGACCTCGCGGGAGATCCGCCCCTTGATTGTGCGGGATCAGGATAGATCACCGCCACTTGTCTCAGACTCCAGCCCTCTCCTCCTCAGCTTCTCCCAAGTTTCCTTCGACTTGTTCTACTTCTTTCCACGCTCCTTCTTCACGGTGAGACATTTGGGAAGACAGCAAGCAAGACATGACAGGGGGAGTGGAGGTTAGGGGGCGTCTTCTTCTCGAAGTCTCGCGGGAGTCAGCGATGGTTTTAGCGGCAGCTTCGGTTGGAATGTCATTCCAGATACGGGGGTATGGTATTGGTAGGGCAAATTAGCTTCCCATCTCTATCCAGTGACTAATTAGCGTGAGCCGCGCGCGCGACTGGCAGGTTTCTTCGGAGGAGGCCGTTTCTAGACGGCGTTGGAACTGGGGAGGGCGGTGTGAGACTGGTGGTGGTGGTCCAACGGCGAACCCGTGAGGTTACAGCCAATCCGTGATCACTGTTCAGTGTCACAGTGATGCCAAATTGGAGAACGTCTCGGCCCTATATTTCTTCGTACGATCTATGCATACCGGCGTGGAGACTCGGGCAGAAAAAAAAAGACCGGGAAAGGAGGAATAAGCAAGCTCAGCATTCGGTGGCATTCCAGGCATGGTTCTAGAAAAAAGAGGGAGAAACTGGAGGTGGGTGAATCTGTTATGCAAGGGGGCTTGTTAGCACCGATCCTGATCCTGATCCCTTCCTTCATCTATATTCTATGACATGGCGACATGCGTGACATGGTTCGAGCATATGACAAAAGTGCAAACAATGCTGCAGTAACTCTCGCTCTGTAAGGTACGTAGACCGGATGTCAAAATAAAGTGGGAAAGAGTGGCTGGACCGAAGTTGCATCGCAGTTGGCCGCATCAAATGTGGCCGTTATTGCCTGCCCCCGGGAACACTCGGTCAAAGGGGCATATGCAGTCACGCATGTAGTATATGCATCGAACGACTTAATACAGCTTACATCATCATGAGCTTCAAGTGAGACCGCCGGGGTGACGACAACAGGGCTCAGCCAACCTAAACTGCTGTTGGTTGTTGTACCCGGATCCCAGACTTTGACAGGGCCTGCCATGGCGTTCACCAAAACGCTCCATCTCGACGATGGGCAAACTCGGCGAAATAAAGAATGCAACATTGGCATCAACGACAGCCAACAAGAATTCAAAAAGATTGGGGGCCTGCGACTCTTAGGTCCCCGAAGAAGCTACTGTTGCCGAAAGCCCACATCAAGAAGCTTGAACTTTGAAAAGCCCATGGAACAGGAAATCTCCTCCTCCTCCCCCACTTCGGCCGGCATCTCTCAAGCCTGCAGGCGATTCGTAATGACAATTCCAAAAGACGATGTAAGCCGCAGCGGGATCCACCCATTCGGCCGGTATTTCGTATTGCGGCAATGGATTTTGGGGGAAGACTGGCAATTCCATACATTTTCTTGGCAATATATCAGACTTTGAAATCTCGAAAACCTACGGAGTACTCGACCGGGCGTGGCTAACCGCGGACTCTCCGCAAAGCAGAAAAAAGCTTTTCCCTGGTTCCGGCTGAAGTACGGATATTTGTGTCCTGTTTGGAAGAAGTTCTGCCCTTGTTACGGAGCCTCATTGATTATTGACACGAGAGTGTCGAATCTCAATACGACACAAAGTCCAAACTGGTAGCTCGTTTCCAACATCGAATCCCGTTTTCTTGTATGCCGCTTGGCTAACCAATGCTCGCACTCTTTCTGATGAAATCCGTTCCAGATTTAAACATGATCTGCTTACAGGAAACAACGCTCAAAAGTCGAAACAGAGAGCAAGCTCCACTTCAAAGCGACTCCATTCTCACTGGCACTTTTCGCCCCCGACAGAAAAGCAACCCACCGGTGCCACTTTCGTCTGTCAATGGAACGGCAAACAAAAAAAAAATTGGTCTTCCCCCCCACTCACACTACGACGTCCAGGTCGGGTCCCTGCGAGGCGCGTTTTGCCCGCGCTCCGCCCCGCCGAACCGCGGCCGACCCCGTAATGTATCCACCCAACGGCCCAGGCGGCTCAAGACCCCCGAACCGTTAGCGCCAATAAATAACCCGCCGCGCGCGCGTTGGGACATTTCGTACCCGGGTCCCACACATCAAAAGTCGTCTTTTTTTCTTCTCTTCCTTCTCCGTTTCTATTGCCCAGGTTGTCCATCCATGATCCCCATGCCAAGGTGGTGGTGGAGGAGGAGGAGGAGGAGGAGGAGGAGCGTGCGGTAAACACATAATCTGCCCACTACCGCTGCGACGTCGTTGGTTTCGGGCCCCCGGAGATCCTAGATGTGAGATCTGCGTGCTTCTCTCCCACTCTCGGGCTCGGAATGCCGAGCTTGCATTAGGGTCCGAGACTCGAGTGAAATGTTCATGAACTACCTTATTCATAGCGTGGACTAGTCATGTGATGGTGGTCCATGGTGCCGTCGAGTTGAACGATAGCCTATCACTTCGTGTGCTCCTGGGCCGGCTTGTGGCGTCGAGGCGTTGCCCTGGCTGAAGACGTTGGCCGATGTGGTACCGAGGCGCAGGCGCAAATGTGTCAAGGTGTCGCTGGCGTATCGCGATGCTCCCAGCTCGATGAGAACTCTAGCCAATTTCTGGCGAGATGGGCTTGCCGACGTTTATGTCAAACAGACAGCCTTCACCTACACGAAGACGCTAAACGACCGTGTTCAGCCGCGTACTGGGTGATGGACGTTTTCAACCAACTCTGATTTCGAATGTGTCCATGGGTGGCATCTATCTCAGGAGGACGCCGCCATTGATGATTCCGAACGCGTGCTCTCACGAAGTGCTCTTGTCACGACGTACATCACCCTCTTTGTGTCGTGACACAAGAGGAAACGTATATAAATACGCTTGGGCATGTCGCGTCTCTTGCAACATGCACGGATCTTTGGCCCATCCATTGTGTAAAGCGGAAAGTAGAAATTAGACTCAACTCGCATGAAATAGAGTATACACAATAAATAATCCATCCTTATAATATTCGTGGTAACCAGCCCTTCTACCCATTCAATCATCTGTATCCAATGTCCGCCGGGTCTTTTCGAATAGTGATCCCCTTTACAAAATGGGGGAAAGTAGCAGGAGCAACATGGGACATGGGACATATCTCCATGTCTCTCTCCTAGTGTTCCCTGTGTTTTGCGGCTCTTTAGTGATACGCGTCCCTCTTTTAAACCTATTTTGACGCCGAGCTGTTGTCGATACTCACCAGCTTGTCGGACCAAACTTTGTTCCAGGCGCCGGCGTGGCCTGGATAGCCGTGCCCTGCGCATCCATCGTTGCAGTCACGATATCGTTACCCCACCATTTAGGCGGCTCAATCTTATTAAGCGTGAAAGCCAAGAAGATGACGAGCGTGGCGAGCGCCAGGCCGAGGTCGAGACCCGACGAGGTGAGGTAGTTGAGGCGCGACCACCAGCCAAAGTGCTTCTTGCGGATGTGGTGCTGGAAGACGTAGCCGACGATGCCCCAGGAGAGGTAGTTGAGGGGCGTCGCGGGAGGGATGGCGCCGGCACCGCCAAAGATGAGGGGCGCCATGAGGTACTTGACCGGGGACTTGGGCCACTTGAGGGCGGCGAAGTAGAAGATTACGGGGAGGATGGCGCCGAGGCCGAAGAAGATGAAGAGGCCGGAGTAGACCTGGCCCGGGGAGAACATGCGGGCGGGACCGATGAGACCCCAGATGACGGAAGCTGTGGACGGGGGCTGTTAGTTTTGTGATACGGGAGGGAGCGGGTTGAGGGGTATGTGGACGACGTACCGGCAAAGAAGACGCGGCCACCCGGGCAGGAGAACTTGTTTTCCTGGTGCGGCGTGCAGACGTCGGGAATGTTCTTCAACGCGGCGTTGAGCACGGCGATCTGGATGAAGCAGGAGAAGGTCGTTGCGACGACCTGGCACATGAACATGGTTCTTGGCGGGATCTTCATGTAGTGGCCAAACTTCAAGTCAGAGACAAAACTGAGGGACTGGGACATGGTAATGTAGCCAAAGGTCTTGAAGCTGTGTACCTTGTCAGCACAAAACGAGTCGATAAAAGTCGATTAGAACACAGTGTTACTCACATCATGAGTGCGAGAGGTCGCCCGGGCTGAATGTAACCGTAGATGAACTCCGTCAACACGTTCAGACCGATCTGGTTATTCGTGACGGCCTGAATGATTCCGATGGGCAGCGAAAAGCCGAAGGAGATGGCCACGGCCAAAAGGAAGGCCCACCAGGTCAAGTTGGTCGGGTAGTACAGAACAGTTACGAAACCTAGACCAAGCATCTACACGCGTGTTAGTGCATGGCAACGGATCACAAAATCTAGTAAAGTTACTCACAATCACGAAGAGGCCCATGTACCACCAAGTCGGCGCCTCTTTGTACTTCCTCATGAGCTTCATGTGGATATCGGGCTGCTCCTTGTTGCTATTCCTGTACTGGGCCCAAATCTGCTTTCCGTTGTGCAGATAGGTGTAGACGATCAAAGAAGCGATGGCAGCGAATGACAGACCGTAGGACATGGCAAACGTGGTGCTGATGAACAGCGGCGAGTAGTTCTTGTACGCCTCCTCGTTCAGCGTAAGCTGAGGGGTAAGGATGCGAGACGTGTTGTACGGGTTACCCGTGTTGTCGTACGTGCCCGAGTCGCTCATGGGCAGGAACTGAGCGTACCACACACCGCTGTAGTGGAAGACGGAGCAGCCGATGATGAAGAAGGTGACAACACCGATGAGGGTGTTGGCAATGGCGTGCCATGGGGGAATGAGCGGGGAGCCGACGAATCCTGAAATCTGAGTCCAGTCGAGAGTCAACGGCAGAAGCGACAGACCACTCGTTCCACCAAACAACTGGTTGATGATAACGTTATTCGGGGCAATCCAGGTGGCGAATGCCATGATGCTGAGGAATTGCGCGAGGAAGCCGGGGATCCAGTAGTAGCAGAATGAGCCAAGAACAATGATACCGAACCACTTGTATCGGGGCATGCTGCCACCAATGAAAGTGGGATCAGGCCGGTCATTCGTCTCATACATGGCATTCATCAAAGTGACAGAGACCAAGTTTCCGGGCCAGATCATAGCAGCCGGATAGACTAAGAGTAAAGTTAGCAAGCCTAGTACTGGATTCTCTTGATGAGTACGCACCGAGGAACTTTCGCATGATGCCGGCAATTCCGTAACCCAAGGACTGAGTGGAAATTGTGAGAAGCAGTTGAAAGACGATGCCAAAGTCTTGCTTGTAAAACACCAGCTGGGCCAGGATAATGTCGGTAGCGTATGCAACCGAAAAGGAGACACCGGCCATCACGACAATGATGGAGTGCTCCTTGATGTTGAACGGCCCCGGGTTCAAGCTCCACTTGATGCCAAAGGTCTTGAACTGCTTCGTAGGCATCACCTTGGCCCAACCCTGACCAATAGGCCATGCAATAATCTGCGCAATTAGAGGACCAAGACCGATTGAAGGCTGTCGTAGTGAGAACAAAGTGTTCATTGAGGCACCAACAGTGACCAACATGAGACCGATAGTCCAGGCCCGGATGGTGTTGCAAGGCATATCTTCGTCGTAGTTGCGAACGGCTGCGCGTACTTCGGGATACGGTGAGTCCTCCTCCTCCTCCCTCTTCATAGCCAGCTCATCGTCGACCTCTTCGATTGGCGTCGATGCCGCGTTACGAATTCTCGTCTCGTACTCTTCGGGCAGATTCGGATCTAAGAGAAGTTCATGTTCGGACCCTTGCTCATCTTCATCATCATAGCCGTGATAGACACTTGACTCACCCCATTGCGAGAGCCTCTCTTTCAAGTCCTCGACCGGGTCACGGTCTGAGAATCTTGAGGTGGTAGAGTCGGCGGGATTGATCTCGCGCCCACTGACCTCCACCTCCGCTTTGGTATCGAGCCCGCGATCGTTGTCCGCCATCATGGGTCCTGAAGCCGTACCAGACGACTTGCCATTAGATGGTTGGGGCATGTTGAAAGTATTCCCAGGAGTGTGGGAGCACAATCATCGACGACAGGGTCAAAACGTCCAAAAGCAGGAGGAGGCAGTGGGTTTCTATATAGGGGGGGGGGAGAGTCTAAAGTGTCTAGGCGGATGGCGTTGGGAGAGATAGAGAGAGTGAGAGGCGGGAGACGGGAACCCGCAGAGGTACGAGCTACGAGCGTCGATCCCAGACCAACATGAAGCAAAGGCTAAAATTGAGCCTCTGGTTGTACTCGATAAGCCTCTGGTATGTACAGAGTCTCTTTCGAGGCCTACAGTGAGTGTGGCGTGATTGGACCTGGGACTCGAATGAATCAACCTCGCAGGTGCTTAGTAGTGCGTGGTACGCAGGAGGGCCGACCCCGTGCTCTCAGAAACAGGGTGATGCTCGGTAGGAAAGAACGGGCGATCCGCAGACTGGGATCAGACTAAAGGATGGCGAGGGTGAGTGAGGGCGATGACTGGAGCGAATGATGGTGGAGGGGTGTGATGCTGTGGGATGATCGGACGGCCAGAGAAGTCGAGGGAAAGACGAGGGCAAAGGCATGAATGGGGGCTAGTCTCAAGGAAGGCGAGTTTCCCGACTGGTGACACTGCTCGGACAAGAAGATTGGGATCGAAGTGGTTGCAGAGTTCTCATAGGACGAGTGGTCATTGATGATAAGAAGGGAAACAAATGCGACGCTGAAACCAAGCTGCGGCACAACTCAGCACAGATGCAGTGTGGTGTGGCGACTCGAGGCCCGGATACAGAGCCGCAAGTTTGCGGGGATGGACTTGATGAAGGCGGACGTTGAGTTTTGCAGTTGCCGAGATGCGATGGGAGACCCTGCAAGGTGGTATGGCTAAGCTTCCGAGTGTGCCCTCTGTTGGTGTGTGTTCCTGTGTTCCTGGCGGGCTCGTTTGTTTCTCTTGGCTGCTCAACCTGGCGATGATAACGATTTGGAATGCCGGGAAGACGTCGGTGTCTGAAACGTGGCTCAATGGAACGGTTGGTGAGATGAGATGTCGCCCTCCAGGGATTGGCGATCTTTGAATGGCTGGACTAGTTCACCTCCTGGAGTGAGGTTGAGCAGGATGATCCGATGGTGCGGTAGAGGATGTCACCTCCTAGTCTCATGAGGCTGCAATAGAGAAGCAGGTTAAGAAAAGCTTCTTTTACATGGAAGAAGCGTCGGCTTGTGGGAGACTACTGTACCTCAGAGAAAGATACCTAGGAAAGACGGGAAGTGAGTGAAAGAAAGAGTGAGTGAGAGTGAGTGAGAGCGCATGCGCCATTCGCAACGTGTGTCGTTGCGCAGCGTTGCGTTGCGTTTCCGACGCAGAGGCCAAGGTCCCCGGCTCTGGCCAATCATCTGACACCTAAGAGGCTGAATCCAGAATTCCAGACCCAAAACCCCCATTGAGGCGACGTTAGTGTCCCCCGCTTCCCGCTGCACTTGTCCCCCCGCCGCCATTTAGGCCCAGGGCATTTCGCCCAGAAGGGGGTCAATGGAACTCAAGATAAGGTACCATACCTTACGCTACTGAGATCCCGACACTGTGGCCTCAGCACCAAAGAGCCCCCTTTTTAGCTGTCCATTCTTCGCTTTGACAGCCCCTGACAGCACAGTGTTTGCATGTAGCCCCTGCAGCGACAGGTCGACAATCTGCACTTATCGACACCTCAGCTCAGCGACTGCCGAGTACGTACCCTCCCGTCAAGAACGCGCTAAACTGCATCTGTGCGGCGCAGCAGAAACGACCCGACCGCGGTTTTTCATACATCTCTACTAACCTATCCGTAACATTGTTCCGACTTCAACTGTCCTACAGACCGCACAACCGTCCCTCATCATCGCTGCCGGCTTAGCCATTGACACGGGAGGACCCTACCGTACCAAATTACCATCATCCCTACCTGCGATAGACACATCGCCCCAGCGCAGCCTCTACCCTTTTCATCCCCGCCCTTTCCACTTTGTCGTTTGCTACCTTATTCCCCCCATTTACATGTCGGTGCGTCTGTAGTTCAAAACGACACACAGATATTGGCCCTGGCTATGGCACAAGAGTCATGCGACGAGTTGTCGTGACAGGGCTCGGCGCCATCTCGCCCTTCGGTGTTGGCGTGCGTACCACGTGGAAACGTCTGTTGGCTGGAGAATCTGCCATCACCAGTGTGGCTGCCTTTGAGCCGCAAAACCGCTGGAAAGATCTGACGAGCACAGTTGCTGGCGTAGTCCCCAGTCATGGCTCAGGTCCCGATCAGTGGCGGCCGGCTGACTGGCTGGACGCCACGGAACAACGTCGCATGTCCAAGTTTGCCCAGTACGCCGTAGCATGCGCCGACATGGCAATGAAAGATGCCGGGTGGAATCCGCAGAGCCAAGAGGACAAGGAGGCTACGGGCGTGTGCCTTGGCAGCGGTATAGGAAATCTCGAGGAGATTTATGAGACGAGCTTGGCCTTCAACCAACAAGTGAGATCTCGCTGCAGTGATCGACAAGCGAAGCCAAGCTAAAGTCTGTTCTGGTAGGGCTACAAGAAGGTTTCACCACTCTTCGTTCCCAAGATTCTCATCAACTTAGCCGCCGGTCATATCTCAATGAAGTACGGATTGCAAGGCCCCAACCATTCCGTCACAACCGCCTGTACAACGGGTGCTCATTCCATTGGAGATGCGATGCGATTCATTGCTTTTGGGGATGCCGACGTCATGGTTGCTGGCGGAACGGAATCCTGCATCCATCCCTTGACCTTTGCTGGTTTCGGGAGGGCAAGGTCCCTCTCCACAGCTTACAACCATAACCCCCACGCCAGCTGTCGTCCCTTCGACCGCGACCGCAATGGTTTCGTCGTTTCGGAGGGGTCGGCAGTCCTTGTCCTGGAGGAACTCGAGCACGCCAAGGCCCGCGGAGCCAACATCTACGCGGAGGTGAGGGGCTACGGTTGCAGCGGCGACGCCCATCACATGACGGCCCCGCGGGAAGACGGACACGGAGCATTCCGCGCCATGAAGCTTGCTCTGAAGAACGCGGAAGTACGACCGGCCGAGGTGAACTACATCAACGCGCACGCAACAGGGACACAGGTTGGCGATGCGGCAGAAGCTTCCGCGATACGAAGCATCATGACAGGCGAGGAGGGTTACGCGGACGAGTCGCAGGTGACTGTGAGCAGCACCAAAGGTGCCGTTGGCCATCTGCTAGGGGCGGCTGGCGCCATCGAGGCCCTGTTCGCCGTGCTATCGGTTGCAGAGGTGAGTCGCGGCTATTGGGTTTCTGAAACCAGAACCTTATCTTCCCCAGACTTCTTTGGCCTTTTTTCTGCCCAACCGAATGTTTTCCTCTGACTCTTACTCAAAAGGATATCGTGCCGCCTACACTGAACCTCGAGAACCCAAATGTCGGGGGATCCATGAACATGGTACCCCTCGAGGCACAAGCGAAACAGGTTAACGTTGCTATTTCCAACAGCTTTGGCTTTGGCGGGACGAATGCCTCCCTGGTTTTTTCCAAAGTACGTTAAATGAGGACAGCCGTGCCGATAGAACCAGAACAACCATGCGATGACGGCTGCGCCCGCGGAATGTCTAAATTGGCTCTGGCTTAGACTCAGACTTTGGGCACACCATAAGAGAGGCTTTCTGGAAAGCTTCGCATTGTAAGACTCGATGTATGATTGGTTACGAGAATTGTAGGAGATAGAATTGCCGACATACGTACGCGGCCACTACGAGCTTAATCTCTGCTTTAACATCAGATATGAGCGTTTGCAAGGCTCTAAATGACTTTAGGTGCAAAGTAACGAGCGCTTATTGCGAGAAAGTCCGCTTTATGGGCCGTCCATGAAGTTCGGCAATACCTGTGAGGAAGAAAAGTAGCCGATTTCTGTTTCTAAACTACAGCATGCAAAACGCCAAGATCGAAGTCAAGGTAATTGAGCGTTGTTGCATTGTCAATCCAAAGAAGCTGAATGGTGTTTGGCTACAGTGTCTAGTCTTCGAGAGAAGCACGGTACGCAGGCGTGGTGGACATGGCCCGAAGTTCCGCCGACCTGGCATGTGCTAGCTCGAAATTTCCAATTCGATGTGTTCATGAACTTTTTTTTGGATGACGTCCAGACTTTTTGTGAGCTCCGCGTTTCTGGGCCCAAGCTGCTGGTCAACGTCCAATACCCCGATTCTCCGGCTCACGAGACCTCGACTGACCCCATACACTTTCGGAACAATCGACGACCCCCTTTACACTCATCACCCACGCGACGTTCCGAGATAAGACACGGAACCCGGTCCTTTCCCTGATATCCCTGACATCCCGAATCAGCAATAACCTTCAAGATGGCCTGCCAAAGCTGCCGCTACCAGGCAAGACTCCTGGCCCGGAGCCTGCGCGCCACCGCCGACCTATCGCCGTCGCAGCAGACATCCATCGCCGCGACGGCGCGCCGAGCGGCGGCACTGACGACATCCAAGACCGGCGGCCCGGCCGCGACTACCACCATGGGAAGGAGGCACTTCAGCCAGACGGCGACGCGGCGGGACGCGGCGCCGTCGTCCGGCGGGCTCAAGCAGGCCATTGCGTCGGGCATGATGGCCGCCGCGCCAAAGACCATGGCCGCGACCCTGACCACCTCCCGCCTCGAGGCGCTGTACAAGATCTGCTCGTCGCCGGCGCTGTACAAGATCTCGGAGCAGGAGCGCGCCAAGGACATGGTGCGCATGACGGCCGAGGGGGAGGAGGTCGGAGACCCCATCGGGCCGTGGTTGCAATGTGCGTCTTACTCTTTCCTTTCTACCTCCCATCTTTGGATGGCAGAAGCCTCTCACCCCTCTCATGTTTGAGTTGTAATCGCAAGTGATACTGACACATCCATCAACAGTCCTCGACCTCCAACCGGGTTTCAGCTCCTGGTCCCAAGCCACGATGCTGCACATGTACCTCGTCCTCGCCCGCCTGCGCTGCCTCGACCGCGACAGCTCCCGCAACCTGCAGCACCAGTTCATCGACCAGTTCTTCTTCGACTGCGAGCGCATGATGCACCTCAACCACGGCATGACCTCGGCTGCCCTCCGCCAGCGCTACCTCAAGGAAATCTTTGTCCAGTGGCGCGGCCTCATCGCCGCCTACGACGAGGGCGTCGTCAAGGACGATAAGGTCCTCGGCGCCGCCGTGTGGCGGAACCTGTTCAAGAGCCGCGAGGACGCCGACTTGCGACAGGTCGCTGCCGTGGTCGGGTGGATGCGCGCTACGCTGCAGGACCTCGAGGCGGCGCCCGTGGAGGATATCCTGGTTGCGCCGGCTAAAGTGTTCAAGAGGGATGTGAGGGAGATGTTTGCCCTTGTTGATGCTGTTGGGCCGCAGGTTAAGGGGGATGTTGCGAAGCTTGGGGGTGGCCAGGAGCAGGCGGCGGTAAAGGCGTAAGAGAAGGATTCAGAGAGAGAGAGAGGGTGGAGAGTCGTCGTATGGCAGCGGATCAGACATTCTGAACGATTCGTGGGTCGCCGCAGTGTATCGATTTTGGGGGAATATGATGAGAATCATGTACAGCATTGACGGACGTCGCAGACTGTAGAGCCTGGCATGGGGAAGGGAGATGCTGCAGGCCTTGTAATTTTGTACAATCACCAACGCATATTAGAGGTTCCCAGACGGAATGGAGGATAACGAACAAGATTCCATCCAATTTAGCTTTTCTTGTAAATGTAGCCATCTTATCACTCCTTCCCGTACCATGAGATAAGCAAAGGGAAACAGAATATTCATGACCAAAAAAATTACAAGATCAAATCTTCTCCCACATCTGGAACTCATACCGCGTCCCATTCTCCTCAATCTCACCCCCCTCAACCTCCTCCCCAACCCACTCATCAAGCCCCTTCTTCTCAACCTGAGCCCATTCGCCCCCCTCGCCCTCGCCGCCAAGTTTCAGCGGGAAGAACGCATCACACTCAAACTCCCCCATAACCCTCGTCAGCAGAACCCTCTTGGCCTCGGGCACCTCGAGCGCCGCGCCGTAAATCTGCGCGCCGCCAATGACAAACACCTTGCCCAGCTTGCCGGCCGCGGCTCCGCTGGCATCGGAGCGGAGGAACGCGAGGGCCTGGTCTAAGGAGGAGACCTTTACCGCGTCCTTTTCGAAATCCGTGGCCGCCGCCGTGGCCGAAGCAGAGTCCAAGGAAGCAGGCTGAGAGCGGCTGATGACGATGTTGAGGCGGCCTTTGAGAGGTCTGAAGCGGGGCGGGATGCTGTCCCACGTCTTGCGGCCCATGATGACGGCGTTGCGGGCGTCTGAGGGTGCCTAGTGCCCGATTGTCTTGTCAGCCATATAACGGTGCTTGTGCAAGGCATTCAAGTTCCATTCAAGATTGTGTCGTGATACCGGAGACGGACAGAAATATGCGGCACTCAGTCCAGGCTTTGAAAAATTGCCCAAGGCCTCATCACGCATGAAGCGAATTGAGCGGCAGAAGGAAGACATGACCTTCTACGTACCTGCGGAGGAAGTCTCTTCGTCACGCGCGCAAAGTACGCCATCTCTTTCTTCAGTCCCGTCCACGGCAGGCCGCCCTTGGCGCCGATGCCCATGTTGCGCGTCGCCGCGACAATGAGCGTGAGTTCGTGGCTCATAATGACTCTCTAGTGGGTGGGGGAAGATTCTCTTTCCCTTTTCTTAGACGATATTCTGCCTTTTGGGAAACAATTTGTTTCTTGGGAGTATCAAAAGTAGACTGGCTTCGAGGGTGATGTGGTTTACCCTGCCTTGGCTGTCGGTTGGGTTGAAGGTGTAAGTAAGTGTAAGTGTGAGGTGCGTGGTTCACTCTGAGTTTTGCGCTAGCTGAGTGACAATTGGTGCCGGCCGATTGGTGGGCTCATGTGGAATGTCGAGTCAAAGGTAACAATGAATCATTTCATGACTGACAACCGCATTTTTCAACGACCTGAGTCTTTTTCTCAAGTCTTTGAGCATTGAGAACCCATTTCTATGACGGAATACTTCTTCTTGAGTTGTGGATACGGTAGTCAGTTCCTCATACAAAACGTCGTGAGAACTACTCGCGGGCCAGACTTGCAGCGTCAGATACGTCACATCATGCACTGCACTTTCAGAGGCACGTGGAAACTCTTACATCATCTCCCAATCCTGGTATATTCGCACTTGGTATAATATAGGTGACTTCCGAGTCACACCTGCCCAGCCTAGCTATTGCTGGCCACAGAACCTGAACGCCGTCGACGTGTTCGTCGAGAAAGTCATCCTGAGAATAGAACTATCCTCCCGTCATTAAGAACTCATAAACCCCCTTCCTTCCATTCCCTGGTCCACCTCACCCCTTCATCTCAATTCCACTGAAGGGAAATACCGCGGTCCAGCGAATCCTTTGGCAAGGACCGCTTGTATATCGATATTACTGCCAGCCGCACGACTGCTACTCCACATCTTTAAGAGTATGAATCTTCCAGCAACCGGCGGATCAAAGCGTATGGTGCATTTGCTCTTGTCCTTCTCGATAAAGAACTTGGCATGCGGCGCCATGAGTCCACGTCCACCACTGACAGCCCGAACAGCCTCCTGCGTTGCCATCTGATTCGCCTCAACAGCCTCTGCCAGTGACATATCATTAGGGTCACGGCGCCTGTTCGTGAAGGAATAATCTTCAAAGTCGGATGCAAATGGATTGCCGTCGTCGCTGCTGTCACTCTCAAACGGCAAAGACCCAATTCTATTGGGAGCTGTTCGATTCGCAGTGATCCTAGGGGTATCATCATCGTCGGTCTCTTCGTAACTGCATTCGGTGGTGATGTTGAAGGGTGGCAAGTGTGTGATGAACTCCGGCGGGATCTGTGCTGTCCGACTCTCATTTTCATCGTCATCATGTCCCAGACTGTATAGCCGTCTCTGCCGACTGTGCGTTCTAGTCACAGTCGTCCCGTCTTCGTGATGCCGTATTGAGATTATCGGGGCTAGTGCTCTGGAGGCCGTTGTGCGACCTGATCTGTGCGGAGCATATTGTATTTCGTATTCCGCCGTTCGCCTAAGAAGCTCATCCTGATTCATGGAGACAAAGATCATACCCTCCCGTACACTACGTATATCTGTTAGATACAGCTCCCAGAAAGTAGGGGAAACTTGAGATACTCACGGTGAAGAGTAATTCGATGCCGGCGCCTTGATGACGAGCTCCTTCAAGCTGAAAGCAGTACCGCCTTGGTGCCGCAGAATAATGTTGCAGCGGTTAGACTGTGTGCAGTATACAGTCTTATCGTCCTTGAGGATGTTTTCGTGGGCGTGAAGGGTGGCGTTCTCATACAGTCCCCCATCACAGCTCATGATTTCCATCTTTAGTTGACCTGACTCGACCTGGCCATACCGTCCATATCGAAACCCCTTGAAGCTCTGGGCAATACGTTCAGAGTCCAGCTTTCTCCTCTTCACCCTCCGACTCTCCTCCGGGCATTCCTCCGATGGAGGTAGAGGCGAAAGATTTGGCGGGGATTGATTGGGAGGCATCCTAGGCGGCGAAAAGGGTGAGGAGCTGTACTGTGCTCTCCTATTCCACAGAGCTCTGACTGCTTCCAAATCGTCTTCCGTGCCGTCAGTTCGTTGACGCCCGCTAATTGTCCTGGTGGTTCTGTACCCAAAGACTGGGGGCAACTGGAGGGGTTGGCGCCGGGTGTTGTCGTCGTCGTCTCGCTGGTCGTTCTGGTCGTTTTGCAAGATATTTAGCAAATTTGAGTTTTGGCTCCAGCCAAGATTGTTGTTTCGGGAGAAGCCAAAGTCGTCTTGCGCCTGAGACATGAATGTTGTGAAGCCACTCAAACTGTTGCCCACGAGCTCGTCGTACTCGGCCTGGAAATTTCGATCAGCCATGTGCCGCGTGAGCTGGTAGTAGGTTTCGGCCTGGTCCTGCGTAGTGTAAGGCTCAGGCTCCCAGGGATGTCGTCGTGTGGTGTTTGAGGAGAAGGTGAGGCGACTCGTGTCTCTAGAAATCGGCGGTAGTGGGGGAAGCCTACGGTGTGGTGGCAGGGGCGGGTAGCCGTCGTCGTCTTCGTCGTCGTCGTGCCTCTGAGTACGTTGGCTCGGGTCTGGCCGTTGTGACGACATGCTTCGTTGGCAAAGGTTTCAAGGGTTCAGCGACGCACGCGCCAGGAGACAAACCAATCTGTGAAAGTCTCCTGGTGCTGCGCTCGTTACTGTCGACGTGAGATAGGCCACAGCGAGAGTGGAAGCGCCGGTTCGAGGGGTGGAAATTATGGGGTTTAGTGGGATCGAGTGAAGGTAGGCGAGCAGTAGAGATTCGTGGTCCAACTACCTGGACGTTTATCGACCAGGGCGGCAACTGGAAGAGGGTGGAAGTGTCAATAGCCAGCAGATAAGGCGAGATCGTCGCACAGAAGAGGATGCGAGGCGTAGCCGCCCGTAGGAGTGTAACTTGGTCGTACGGGCTGAACCTCCTCCATCCACCGGGATTGTACTAACAAAGGTAGTGTATGCGAAGGGCGGTCGCTGGCCCAAGTATTGACCCTCGTCGCAAATAGTAAATCGAAGGCGGTGGGAGTTTGGAGCTTTGGTTATTGTGCTGTAGGTGGCAGAAGCGGGCAGAGTATGAGTGCAGACAAGAGGGCCTGACGGAGCTGGCGCAAACGGCCGTCGATGCAGCTCGGGTTGTGTCGTCAGCAGGTCGGCGGAGAAGCAAAGATGGTTGGTTGATGATACAAGTTGGAGTTGGACTGAAGTGCCGCTGACCGCTGGTGCTGGTGCTGGTGCTGGTACTCCGTACTGGTGCTTGGATTTCCGTTCCAAGTCCCCCTCGACAGGAGGCGAGCAAATGAGCAGACAGCCAGTGACAGCGGTGGGATCGCCCTTCTGCACCCGCTAAAGAGAGACCCCCTGGCCCTACCCATCGCGGGGTTTCGTACCTGTAAGAACCAGTGAGGCAACGGGGGAGAGAGGGGCGTCTGGACCAAAATGCTACGAGATACATCATCTTAGTATGTAACGCTCCACCAAAGCGAGGTACCACTTAAGCGTGGCCCTAGCGCGTTATCTGTGGTAGGGACGCCGAGGACTGCGTTCCATGCGAGCGTTCCACGTACCTACCTTACCTACTTTAGGTACCGTACCAGGGCCGCCGTGTTAACAATTCTTTTGTCGAAGCTGCCTTCCTTGTCCAAGCTTGCTCTGTTACCTGCCTCCTAAGGTACCTTAGCCTCGACCTCAAAGTGAACCCATCCCGTCCTCAGCCTCGCTTTGTTGAGGTGAGAGGTCATACTCATATATCGCCATCACTTCCTTCTGACTGGGATTTTTCCTTCTGGAAATCCACCAACTTTTTTGCTGCTTCCGTCATTGAGTGAGCGAAACCTGCGATACTTCCCTTCACATCTTTTACGACGGACCCAAAACCGGTCTCACTTGACGCGGTCTCACCTCTCAACTCTCGCTTCATTGCGACAACTCATCTCACGAGCCAAACGACGACGCGCATGATTTGCTGAGCTGCCCTGACGATTCGCGACTCAATTACGCAGGATACGAGAACATTGTTCTTTCGCGATCCACACATTCTCGTCAATTGACATCCCTCTCATTTCACGACTTCATCATGGAGGAGCAAACGCAAACGAAGGAGACGCCGGTGCAAGAGACGCCGGTGCAGCAGCAGCCAGCACAGCAGCCCGCACAAGAAACCGCAGCCCCGAGTAGCAACGCGCCAGCTCAGGAAACCGCTCTGCCTCATATGCCATTTCCCAATCCCTCCAACGGGTTCGATCCTAGCATGCAAGCCGCGCCAATGGACCAAGTGCTCCCGGAAGCGTTGCAGGAGGTCATTCCCGGAGCCATGCCCGGCATCCTTCCCGGCATGTTGCCCACGGGCGAGATGTTCATGCCTCAGATCCTCCAGCAGAACGGACAACAGCAAATCTTCATGGGCAACGATATGCTTCCAAATATCCCAGCTCCGGCACCGGGCATGAGCGCAGGTACGTAGGCCTGAGCCATCTACCTACATGAGACCGTACGGACAAACTGACACTTTCTACCAGATGAGATTGCGCTCTACGACCGTCAAATCCGCCTCTGGGGCATAAAGGCCCAGGAAAAGATCCGCAACGCCAATATCCTCCTCATCACAATGAAGGCCCTCGCCAACGAAATCGCAAAGAACCTCGTCCTCGCCGGCATCGGCTCCCTCACCATCCTCGACGGCGCCCCCGTCTCGGAATCAGATCTGGGCTCCCAGTTCTTCCTCTCCGAGGAAGAGCACCACGTCGGCCAGAACCGCGCCCAGGCCGCCGCCGCCGCCATCCAGAAGCTCAACCCGCGCGTCCGCGTCCACGTCGACGCCGAGGGCATCAAGTCCAAGGGCACGAGCTACTTCTCTGCGTTCGACATCGTCATCGCCACCGACCTCGACCCGGACTCCCTCAACATCATCAACACCGCCACCCGCCTGCACCAGCGCGCCTTTTACGCCGCCGGCACCCAGGGCCTCTACGGCTTCGTCTTCTCCGACCTCATCGAGCACGACTACGTCATCGAGCGCGACCTCGGCAACGTGGCCACCAAGCTCGCGCCCGAGACGCGGACCCGCAGCGTCGTGGCCGTCAACACCAAAAAGGAAGGTGGCAAGACCATCGAGATGGTTACCAAGCGCGAGCTCTACTCGACCTGGTACCTCGCCAGCGACGGCGCCACCCTGCCCGACGAGTACGCAAAGAGCGCGCGCAGGAAAAAGGCCGTCAGCCCCGTCATCTCGTGCCTGCGCGCCCTCTGGGACTTCCAGGTGCTCAACAGCGGCCGCCTCCCCAGCCACACAAAAGAGGACCTCGGCCTCTTCACCAAGCTCGCCACGGCCAAGCACGCCCAGCTCGGCCTGCCGTCAGAGACGCTGCGCTCCGAGGTCCTGCGCGGCTTCCTGCAGAACATCGGCAGCGAGATGGCCCCCGTCACCGCCATTCTCGGAGGCCAGCTCGCGCAGGACGTCATCAACGTCCTCGGCCAAACTCAACAGCCGATCCAGAACATGGTCATCTTCGACGGCAACACCATGGAGGCGTCGGTTCTCCCGCTCCACCCCGTCGGCGAGCTGGGACGCGGCCTCCTCTCGCTCGCTGCGCCCGCCGGTCTCATGCCGAATGGCGGGGGCCTGATGCCTGCTGATCCCAGCATGATGATGAGCATGGATGGTGCGGTAGACTTCAACAACCAGATCCTCACGCAGTAGTCTGCTAGGGAGTGGTTTAAACATTTGCGGTTGTGTGTATGTGTATAACAGTTTCTCACGAGGAGTCGGAGATGATGGCAGAGGAAATTCGTCCCGAACATCCCTTTTCGCCGGTGCGGAAAAAAACCAAAATGGCTCGAATACATGTAATATCAGATACACTGTAATCAGAACACAAAAATTGAAGAGGCTCACGCTCCATTTGCATTATATTCTCTTGGTGAAACTTTATGAAACTTTCAGAACTGTGACTCCGGTTCCTCCCTCAATGACCTCGCGAACTCCAAGCAATGCCGCTTTCTCCTGGCACGCAAGGCTGCCGTAATTATGCGAAAATCTATGAGAAGTATGAATGGGGCCTTTCGAGTAAGCAAACAAGCAGCTGTATGTTCTCTGTCTTTGTGTATGGACGATAGAAAACTACTCTCTGAAGCTACTTCTCGACTCCGTCTGTAAGGTATGTATAACCATCTTGAGAGCAACATATGAGTCAATCAGAATCAATTGCCTAAAACAAACACAGACTCATGGTGGCTCTCCGATTTTGCCTACTTGACGGACATAAAACGTCCATGAGACAACATCACTTGCTGGGCCGCATGATATAACGCGGAAAACAGATGGATAACGACTTCACTTTACAAGCAACGCTCAGCAGCAAATTTCTCAAAACCAATTCTTCTTTTCGTATTCATTATCATTCCAAATATGCTGAGGCACTATTGACCCCGGCTTCTCGGTCCTAGCTCTAATTTCATTCAATGAGCTTCTCCACCTGGCTTTTCAGCCCAGCCCTCTCTCTCTCTCTCTTTCTCTGTGTCTTTCATCCGCATACGGATGACGAGAACCAAAAGATCTTCATATGTGGAAGACCAATGTCCAAAGTGATGTGATAATAATACATGCTCTTTTCGCTTGTCCCGATCCGCTTGCAACACGATTCTCGGATTCCATTCAGGTTTTCTTGGGACCTGGCTTATTGGCAGTCGTCTTCTTAGCGACTGCCTTCTTCGTAGTCGTCTTCCTGACAGCTGTCCTCTTAGCGGCTGGCTTCTTGGCAGCCGGCTTCTTCACTCCCGCGCCTGTTAAACCTTCCTTACTTGGGTTCAGCTCTGGCAACGTGAGAATCTGCTCCTAGCGGGACCCGCGTCGCTCGTCGCCGTTCTCATCTGTCTTCTGGCGCTGGATCCTATTATTGTTTATGTTCCATCCCCGAATTTGGACAGGGCCGCGACGCGGAGGGGGTTCCGTAGGCGCATAGTCTTTGATGTTTTCCTTGTAGTCATACTGAACGGTTCGCAGTTCAGGGCCTTGAGGCCACCCTACTCTGTGAGCAGGCAGAGGGGCGGGGGCCAGCTTGGGGTATTTGCTGTTTCCCTGTGCACTTGGAGTTGATGAGCCACTTCCAGCCCGGCTTCTAGACGGTTCGCCGGGTTGCTGCGGAACGAACTGAAGATTCGGAGGGCTTTGTGCTGGGGCAATGGATGAGTAAGTGGGAGACATGCCTGGGTGTCCGTAAGGCGGCGGTTGCTGCTGTTGCTGCTGCTGCAAAGGTGGTGGTGGAGGTTGCGTGCCTGTGTAGGGTGGGTACTGGTTCATCATGGGCGGCAAACCTGGCTGCTCCTGTGTGTATCCATTGTGGTATGGCCTGGGTGGACCAGGGGGGTAGAACGAGCCGCTATTGGTGCTCATATAAGGTGGCGGCGGCGGCTGTTGTTGTTGCTGCTGCTGTTGCTGTTGCTGTTGCTGAATCTGATGTTGCTCGATCTGAACACCCTGCTCTGGTGCAGCGGGAACACTCTTGCGGCCACGAGACGGCCGCAAGGGCGGAAGCGGCGAGCTCCTGTCCTGAGAAGGGTTCGTAAACGGCATACGAGATGTAGAGCCAGATTGTTGCAGCTGAGGAGAGGCTTGTGCCATGGGTCCTCCTTGCATAGGCATGCTGGGCAATTGGTAGCCCTGCTGGCTCTGACCGTAAGCCTGTTGTTGATATTCATGATGTGCGGTCGAAGCGTCCATCGGTGCAGAGTAAAGACGCGGGTCGATCATGGGGTCTGCTTGCGGCAGGTGTTGCTGGTTATGCGGATGAGGCAAGTGCTGCTCGTTGTAGGCCGAAGGAGCGCTGTGCTCGTGGTACATGGAGTGCCGGCGGGTATCATTGGTGGCGTCAATCGAGGACCTCATTTGAGACATCTCGACTGGTCGAGCAGGGGGTAATTGGTTCGAGTACGGATCTCTCATCGACGGGGTTTCGATAGATTGGTGGATTCGACCGTCGACGCCCGGTGAAGCGATTCGAGGTTCAATCCAGCCGACACTATCATTTGAAGGTGCAGCCTGGATGCGGAACTCAGCGGGAATGGGCTGAACCACATATCCAGAGTCGATGTGATGATGATGGGAATGGGGAGGTGGAGGACCATCAACTGGAATGGGTTGGCTGATGGGAGCATCGGCCATGACAAGGTCGACGGGCTGGGGAGGGTAGGTGGAAGTAGACGCATCTGCGAGGATTGCGAGCGCAGTAGTGTCAATGGGCTCCGGCACTAGGACGGGAGCTGGAGGCTCAGCGGCAGCTGATTCGGACCCTCCAAATATGTCGCGAATAGCGTCATAAGCACGGGTAGCAGGTCTGACTGGAGTCGGAGCGGGCAGGATCACCGGCTTCTCTTCGACAGATTCCACCACCTTGGCCTCCGCCTCGACGGCTTCCGCAGCCACAACGAGCTCCTCCAACCCAGCAATGTTAAGGGCAGAGTCGTTCATAGGGAGGGGCGAAGTGGCAGGCGTATCCTCCAGACTCGCGGGCTCGGACTCCTTGACAGATTCGGCGATGAGTCTTTGCTCGACATATTCTTCTGCGATTTCCTTGAGAGCCTTAAGCTCAGGTCCCTCAATGTCCTCGGGGGAGATGTCTTCCATTTCACAGATGGTAGAGAGAATCGCGCCCATTCTTTCCGAGTATGGCTTGTCAGCTAGAGCAATCTCGACCTTTGCAATGGGGACGACACGAGATGCATGGATGGTCCTGCCTGAGGGAGTCAGGAAAACTGTGGGATGCATCGGCTCTGCCTCTGGTTTTGGCGGCTCGGAGTCATTTTTGCTCGTGGGCAGGAAGCAGCCCAATCGGGGGTGAGTGCCGTACTTCTGGACAAGCTCCAAGTCGTAGTCTTCTTCGTCAAGGTCTCTAGCATCCCAACGAGCGAGCAGAGGATCAAAGTGCCAGGTGTTCGAGTTTGGCTTGCCGAGATACTTTCCACGCTTAGCGAGCGTGGCTCCATGCCTAGGGGAGTTGGTGGAATCACGGAATCCAATCTCGTCGTCATCGAACTGGAATGATGGAGGAACAATAAGGCGATTCGCGATACTCGCTCCATTCTTGGCTGTCGGCCGGTTGACTTGTCTGCAACCGTATTCATCTGGCTCTGAAGCCTTTGCCGGCAAGGCGGGCTCTCTCTGGTCAGCGGTCAACGGACCCTCAGGTACCGGCGTGCTCTCATTCGATTCGTCTTCGATGGGAGCATGCTGAGCCGACATGATACCAGCAATGTGGCGGACGGGCGCGACATCGGCAGCAGACCTCTTGGAGGCCGGCTGGCCATCTGGTTGTTGGTTGGCTTTCCGCTTGCTAGTCCGTCCTCCAGTCGCTGCCGCGGAAGGCGGCGCCAAAGTCTCCTTCGCGGCCTGTGGCTCCGCCCAAGCAGCCTGTCTCAGGGCATGGGCTTCGGTGCCTTCGACGAGTTGAGGATAGGGAACGAGTGCTCCGTCAACGTAGACTTCATAGAGGCCGAATTCTTGGGCTTCCTTGTCCGAAATTTGTTTATAATTCCAGCCTGCATCGACGAGCTAAGGCCAGTGTGAATAACCGAGATACGCAGGAAAAAATAGAATGAAGAACAGAATGAACTTACGTCAACAGGAAGACCATGGTCATGAAGGTATTCCAGAAGGTTGAGGCGATGAAGCTGCGCATCCAAAAATCTGTCTTCCGCATCTTCAACTCCGTTCTAATGCCGCGAGTGACGTTAGCAGAGGACCGGGGGAGAGGAAAAAAACATGACATATCAGTCGGGGCCTCACGAACCTTGAAAATATCGCGAACGGCGCCGAGCTTGGCATGTTTGGACTTGAAGACGGTTCTGGCGGCAGTCGCCAGCTTGTTTTCCAAGTAAAGGAGGGACCTTTCGAAGCGAGCGCCGAGATTGTCCTCGATGACTTTGAATTCCGGCACCGTTTTGTGGTAGTCCTTGTCATTTGTGAGTGTGTCGATGGAGCGCGAAGCCAGATCTTGTAGCGCTGGCTTCACGGCATTAGCGAGAGCCGCGTATTGTGCCTTGAGCTCGCGTTGCCGTTCATAATTTGCCTGGACTTTGTCGTCTGAGAACTGCTTGAAGCGGCCGCGTCGACCAGTGCCGGCTGTGGCTGCGGGTTTGGGAGGCTCCTTCTTAGGCGCGACAGCTTTTCTGCCCCGGCCTCTACCGCGGCCCTTGGCCTTGGGAGTGAGCTGAGGCGTCGGAGTCGAAAAAGACTGCTCCGGTGTCTCAACGTCTGACATGATGTCGATGGCCGTTCATGAAAGAGACGTGAAGACGGGGGAAATGGGGGTATGTGGAGGCAAAAGTGAGAGCGGGTATGGTGTAATGAGATGGGGGCGTCTGTGAGATGGGTAGAGTAAGGTAGGGGGCGCGGTACGGGTTGGAAAACTGAGATGTGAAGCGGCCGAGGAATTCTCGGTCAATCTCAGAAAAGACGTGAGCAGGCGCGATTGCTCGGGGTCAAGAACGTGCTTTGACTTGAAGATGTCTGTAGGTTGTTGGCTGTTCGGAGAACAGGACCAAGGTGTGTGGGTTGGACGGGGATGGTAGTGGTGTGGGCTAAGAAAATGACAGCCGGCTGGCCTCTCTCTCTGCAACGAGCGGAATTCCTCAATGAGAGACCAGCTTGAGAGGGGGATAAATGGAATCAGGCTGAAGATGAGACTCGTGCGCAGAGATGGCTGTAAGAGTGAGCCAGCGTGAATGAGGCGTTGAATTGGGAGCGTGGAACGAAGATTGCTTCGCTTTTTTCCCCTTCCTGCCTTTTGCAAATAATACCAGGCGGAGCGCAGCAGAGGCAGGAACAGACGTGACCACCCTGCTACAGCGAGGCGGAAGGCAAGGCCCAGCCCAGCACTGTGCTGCACACACTTACACCGATCTGGTAGGAGTAGGCATGATTTACCGCGCCCTGATTCGTCCGGAGGCCCAGAAAATCCGACGACCGGAAATAGCCTTCTACCCCTGTCGGCAAAAAAGGGCAAGAGGTACCGGGTACATGAGGATTCTGCCATCTGGCCGTCCATGGTGCTGTCTCGTACTTTACCGCGTACCTTACTCCGTGCCTTGCACGTATCTGAGTGTAAGCCTTTTTTCGGAGAGCTGGCTCGCTCGGGTGTTCGTAACGGGCATTTGCGACTTGGCAGGCCAACAGGCGAGCATGCCAGAATCGCATCTTTGGGCAATAATGAATGCCTGCGGTCTTACTGTCCCAACTAACAGAACCTGCTTGCACCGGTGAATACCTGCCTTGCTCATATGGCTGCCTGTATCTGCGTTTGTGCTCCCGCTGTGTGATGGCTTCTCTGAACGCGTATGACTACCTACTCTGTGCCTAACCAAATATTCATAGACCCAAGCGTGCCTTCTTGTCCGCTTCTCCCAAACGTCCAGCCGGTCATCTTGAGCAGGAGCAGCATTTCTCAAGCGCGTCCGGTATCACGACGACGGCCTCGAGATGATAGCAATGAGGTCAGTCGGTCCCTGGATTCTGCTCCTCATCAACCATGCCCGCCTCCTTCCTGTCTGACCCAATCCAAGTGGCTCTAGATATTCCTAAATGACCAAGCCGCTTTGTAAATGCCATCCGACTTTGGATGAAAGCGCAACAAAATGAGCAGTATTTTTCACACGCTCATCTTCCTTTCTCTACATATCTTCCATTGGGATTGATATTATATACTGCTTCTGAGCAGTATCGTCTCTATCAACCTCACAAAGCAGATATTTTTGCCTCAATCTCGGGTACCTCAGGCTGTTCGGACGAGTCGGACAGCCTGTCGGACGGGGCGACTTTTACAGGTCTTGGTCCCGTCCGGGTGGGCCTGTTGTTGAACCAGATCCCGAGCTCCAGCCGGACGGCTGCAAGTTCTTTTCCAGGACCCAGTGAGGTGCAGCTTTGTGTTGTTGTTCTGTGGCTGGTATGGCTGGCTCACCGACGAGTGTTCTGGGCATGATGCAACAATAAACGAAATTCAATTACGTAGATATTGAAGCAAGCACACTGGTGTTCTATACTCGCTCCGTTACCCACGATCTTATGGCGACCAGCATTTTGATCGTAATCCTCTTCTGGATGGTTGTACACAATCATAGTACTGGCATGCTCGCCTCCCTTACGTCTGCAATACCTACCATTCGTACTCCGTACACAACAAGCCGCCAGTTGCTCAAGGTTCGGGAGTGCCAGGTAAGCCTCATTCATCCAAGTACCGGCCCACTTAGCTAATAAGAGCCACGCTAAGAAGAAGGGACGAACAACAACCACCATCAGACACGACACCAAAAGATGCATACAAAAGCAATGGGTTCAATAGATCACACAGAAATGGGTCTGGGCCAGCCCTCAGTGTCATCAAGATCAATGCTGCCTTGAAGCACGACGAGGTGTCTTCCAAGTTCGATAGATCCGAGGCAGTCAGCTCCTCACCCTCTCCTCCCCTGCAGCAAGGTCCATCTCACGACGCACGCCCGGGGTGCGGATGGCCAACGAGTCCCCTGGCGCCTGAACAGCACACTCTTCCTCCCGCGCACCAATTGTACCGGGTACCTTCTCTGGTCCCGTCTCCCGCCGCCCTCTTTCTCTTCCGCCCCCCTGTGGTTATCCATAATCCAGTGTCGCCCAATCCACTCCCCCGTACTAGGGGTCGGTTTCTAAGGAGGCCACTGACACTTGACGAGCTTGAAAAAAAAAAAGCGAAGGGTTCCACGGCTGAACCTCGTCTATTCCCGAGCCGCCGGAGAGCGCTATGTGTGCTCACCGCCGTAGCGTCGCAAAAAAAAGTCAAAAGACAACGGCAGAAAGAGCGCCCCGGGAAGAGAAGGGCCAAAAAAAAAAAAGTTTCTCGCTCACGGTACAACCAGAGCGTGGGGTACATACCTTACACACCCTTCCCACCCCCCCGGCGCCGACACGGGTAGCAACAGCACCGCCGCCGACCACCACATCCCACTTTGCACCGCGATACACGCCGTACGCCGGACGTCACCTCGGAAAACCTAACCCAGTTCACGAACACCAGAACGGCCCGGACCGTGAACCAGGCTACCCATTGCGCCGCATACCTCCTCTGCCGAGCCACCAGCCTTTCTACCACAACCCCTCGTCCATCATGGCCAAGAAGCGGAAGCTCGGGTCGATAAACCACAAGAGCCACTTCGTGGACACGGTGAAGAAGAAGACGGGCGGCGCACCGCAGAACAACAATGGCAAGAACAACAACAAGAAGAAGAACCCAAAGAGCGCCCAAGCCCTCGAAAGCGACGCCAAGAAGAAGAAGGCGCAACAGCAGTACCACCAGAACCAGGAGCCCGTGATACCGTTCTCCAAGGAAGACGCCATCCTGCTGATCGGTGAGGGCGACCTCAGCTTCGCAGCGAGTCTTGCAACACACCATGGCTGCCGTAACCTAACTGCGACGGTCCTCGAGAAGAACGAGCGGGAGCTACTGGAGAAGTACCCCCAGGCCGCGGAGAACATTGCGCAGATCAACGGGACCGCCACTACCACAAAATCTACCAAGTCAAAAGCAGCAAAGAGCGAGGGCGAGGGCGATGCCGAGGACGACGAGAACGACAGCAAGGAACCCACCGAGGCCGAGTCACCAGAAGCAGAAGAGGAAGAGGAGGAGGAGGAGGAGGAGGAGGAGGAAATCGACGAAGACGACGACGAGAAGTACAAACCTCCCGTCCAGAACAACAACAGGGTCCTCTACAACATCGACGCCCGCTCCATGAAACCCTTCACCCGCAAATCCGCCCCGAACCACCGCGGCTTCCACATGTCGGCCCCGACAAAGACGGGCATCTTCAACCGCATCCTCTTCAACTTCCCCCATGTCGGCGGCAAGTCCACCGACCGCAACCGCCAAGTCCGCTACAACCAGGAGCTCCTCGTCGCCTTCTTCACCTCGGCCCTCCCCAGCCTGGCGCCCAAGGGCACCATCGTCGTGACCCTGTTCGAGGGCGACCCCTACACGCTGTGGAACGTCAAGGACCTCGGCCGCCACGCGGGCTTACAGGCGCTGGAGAGCTTCAAGTTCCATTCCCGCGCGTACCCGGGCTACAAGCACGCGCGGACGGCGGGTGTGATACGGGAGAAGAAGACGGGGGAGGCGAGCGGGGCGGCGTGGAAGGGGGAGGAGAGGGCGGCGCGGAGTTTTGTGTTCATGCGCAAGGACGAAGCGCCCGAGGTGCAGCCTTCCCAGAAGAAGAAGAGGAAGCGCGGCGGGGAGGAGAGTGATAGTGAGGATGAGGTTTCTGAGGTGGAGATGGAGGAGCCCTTTGATGAAACGGGGGGATGGGTTGGGCAGTAATCGGCTAAGAGTGGAAGATGAGAGGAGGAACTGACTACCTCGTGTCTGACAGTAGAGAGAGACCGAGGAAGAATCGCTTCATGCGTGATGAAAGTGCAGAAGGAAGGCATGAACAGCGCCTGAAGTGTATATGGCCTAGCGGAAGAAGCTGAGTGCCTGAGATCGGCAGAGAGCGAGAGTTCCAATTTGATGGCCATACATAGGGCCTCAGGCAACTCATCATTTGGAGATTCGCGCTTCTTTCTCACCCACCCCGACCCCCTTGGATTCTCAGCACGGTGAGGATTTAAACCCCTTGGGTAGAGGAGCAAAAGCCCAAGTCCAGAAGGAGAGGATCTATGGTATCGGGTCTACTACATCGCCCATTGGCATCTCGCATTTGGCATATATGGCGCGGCGTTCATCATGGGATGGTCAAGTCGGTCTTCGAGAATAGGGGGGGGAAAGCTATCTGGTTTATAAAAGCAAAATGGAAGCCTCAAGGCAATCTGAATTCAAAAGGAGAGAAAGGGTAAATAGCAATAATTTTGATGCTCATATCCATTATATGCCCCCCCCCTCTTTCTTGACCTCAATGTGAACAGATGCCACTTTGCAACATACACTAGAAAACGTGATTCTTTAATGTCGAGGTCTCCATTCACGTCCATTACTACTAGTTCAAGTTATGTTTCTTAGCTGCCTTTTTTCCTTTTGTACGAAAACGCCAATTGCCTGGTATGACTTTTTCGTCGTCACGGTGCCCAAATCTCGTTGGAGAGAAAAAAAAAGAGAACCCAATGCCCGCCCGCCATCGGGGATGATGCCATGCTGCCCTATTCCCATACTTCCAACTCCACCCAAAAGCCAACATAGCCTGGGTGTCGGTGAAGAAAAAAGAAAGAAAAGAAATTGACACAATGGCCTAGGTACAGCTCTTTCACTTGGCCACAACCAGTTCTTTTTTCTTGTCCATGACCGAAAATATCCACATTATAATCGTAACAAAACACCCTAAACAAAAACCAAAGTATCTGAGAGATCCTTTGTTTTGCTTGGGTAGGGGTCTGCTGGTTCCCTTCCAGAACGAGAAAAATGCAACATGCCTGCTTATACATACAAGGCCGAGAGAGTTCCCTTCACTTCGGCTTGTTCACTTAGTTGACGCCCCACCTCCGTTGGAAAGTCGCACAATCTGGGTATCCCTAGCTTCCAAGGACAACGTCCCAAGCCTGGGGTAGGCGTTGTGTCGTGGTTGTGTCTAGTGACCCATAACCTCTTGCTGCCGAGCCACTTCATTGCCGGTGTTGGCAATGGCGGACTCATCGACAGCTCCTCCTCCATTTACCGGAGGGTGACCATTCAGGGTGCTTCCAATGTCCATAGCTTTGGAAAGCTCTTCTTCTTCCAAGCGTTCAGACTCCTCGTTCTCTCGCATTAGAGCCTCCTCCTGCTCCTTCAGAGCCCTTTGTTCTTCTGATAGCGGCTCCTCAGGGGTAGCAGTAGGTGCCGGGTCAGCAGGAGGCGGCGGGGGTGGAGGTGGTGGTGTTGCACCATCCGCATCAAACTCTCTAAGGCGCTTCACAGATGGTTCGTCGGAGGGAGTCAGGGTTTGTGACTCAGCTGCCTCCTCCTCACGCTTCCGTTTGCGCTCAGGACTACCCACCGATCCGCCGTCCTCATTGTCGGACAGCACAACGTCGTCGGCTGGTGAATCAATCTCCTTGTTGGTCGAAGTGGCGGGGTCCTTTGACTTGTCCATGTCGCCTTCGGGAGTCGCCTTCTCCTTCTCGAGATGTCTGAACTTCACAATAGCCTTGTCCAAGAAGTCCTTCACGTACGCCTTGACTTTTCTAGCTTGCTTCTGGTCAAGTGGAGTCGTGGGGTCTTGGATTCGATTGCGCTTGTAATCTGAGGAGACAAGTTTCTTGCAGACATCCTTGCCGAGCCGCTTTAGATCGTCCTTGGGAAGCTTGTGTCTGTACTTATCGACGACATACTTGACGTGGGGGAAGAGCTGCAGAGAAAATTAGCAGGTGACTAGGGGCTCAAACATAGTTACACGTACTGTGTTCTCATAGATCTTCATCTGTTTGTCGATGCTAAGAGAGCGCCACTTTTCCTGCTTGTTCTCCTGAACAGGAGTCTCTGCACGTTGAGGTGTCTGTGATGCCGAAGGTCTGGGGGTTTGCTCCTTGGTGACTTGGTCGATAATATTCTTAAGCAGCTGCTGCTCTTGCAAGGCCTTGGGCGTCGACTTTTGAGCGTCGGCGGGCTTGGTGGGACGTTGCCAGGTCGTAGCACCACTCTTGCTGTAAAAGTACGTGTTCCCACGCTGATCCGTCGCTGTGAACCATCCGAGTGGTAATGCTCCATGACCGTTGAAGTTCTGGTGTCTTCGTTGGCGTGGAGGGCCATTAAAGAAATGTGTGTTCCGTTGAGGAATGTTGCTCCGAGGTCCTTTGGGAATCTCGACATTCTGAAGGGGGTCAGGGGTCGATTTCGCAGTCACGTCCTCTTCACGATCCATGTTGCGCCTCTCTTGGAAGGAGTTTGTGGCAGATGTGTTGGGGTCAAACTTTCGCTTCCCGATGCGGTAACCGAGCTCCAATTTGGACCACTCGTCCAACAGCTTCTTCGATTTCGCGCTGACCTCCTCATGTTCTGACTGAGTGAGTACACCAATGGTGGCTTCAATCTTGGAGCCCTCAATCTTGTTTCGGGTCAGTCGCGGAAACTTGTCGAGGATATCGAGAGCTTGGAGAACGACGTTGTGGTCGTCGATAAAGGTGTTGAGCGTTGTCTTGAGAATTTGGTAGGCATGCATGCGCATGACGGAGTGGATGACCCGCTCATCCTCACACTGCTGAATGCGCTGCAACAGCTTGACAGCAATCCATTTCTCCTTGCACTGCATCAGAGTCGCCATGACCTTGCGCGCATCGTCATCGTCGAGGCTTCTAGCCTGCACGCTATTAACGTACTCCTCATCGTCTTCCTCAGGCTTCTTTTTGCGTGGCTTCTTGGCCACCGCTGTGTCCCAGGCATCACCGTCGTCAATGCCGAGTGCCTCCACTGTAGTAAGGGGCAACTTGGTCGCCCGCTCGGTCTGCGTCTTGCCACCAATGAATCCAGTGCAATTCGACTCGCCACAGTAGCAGGGTTGGGGGTCGGCTCCATAGCGGTCAACATTGTAGTTGAACACCAACTCCTCACCGGCTTTGATTTTGCGTGAGGAGAAAATACCCATGCGCAGCTTTTCTCCGACGACCCATTTGTCGACGTAGCAATTCGGGTTGCATGAGTGGTTGCAAAAGCGCCCCAGGTTGCCCTTTTTTGTCGCATCGACGAATTCGTGCTTGGTCAGCGACATGAAGTAAAAATGCTTGATGCCCTCGTCATCGTACTGTATCATCCGTCGTCGAAAGGTTGGCTCGTTAATGACCTCGCCAATGTACTCGAAAATGAAGTCGTTAGCCTGCATATCAATGTTGGCGCGGAGGCCGAAGCCCTTCTTCTCCGTCTTGATAACTGAAACATCAGCGAACTGCTTCCGCTGAAATCTCTGATTCTGGCAGCCATCACCACAGTTGCCGGCGCCAGCGAGGCACTCCATCTTCGTCGCCCTGTTGATGCAGTCGGAGTCTTCGCCGCACGATAAATTTTTTCCTTCATCTGCAAACAGGCGGATTTCAGTTAGGGGAGGGGCTCGCGGTTGTTTCGCACAGCGGCGAGGGAGGGCGGGGGAACTCACGCCACTCGGAACGGCAGTCGCAGTCAAGAGCATCGTTGTCGGTCGAGCCCATGTGCTTGGATCCATACAGACAATCGGGTATGACCTGGAAGGTACTGCACGATTGCTCCGTGACGTCTGGCAGATCGTGGAATAGAGGCGACTCGCGCTTGACGGGCTTCTGCGATGCTTTGCGTGACAGTTTCGGTCGCTGCGTGCCTCCTGGCGTCGAGATGCCTTCGCTGTTGGCCATGCCCTCACTGGGCGACATGCTAGCAGAGCGGGACCCCTGGGTACTCCTCTTCTGCGCCGATGTTCTGCTTGGATCTCGCTCCATGTTGACACCATTGGGCGGAACACCATCCTCAATCTTTACCTCCTCCATCTTCACCGTCGCCAGCGCTTCATCCTCCATCAAGCAAGTGCGGGAACCCTCGGTAGGGCGAGCGCGCGAGGCGAGGGATGTGTAACGGTATTCGCGGTTCGTGTCGTCCAAAGCCTCGAGCAGCGGCGGATGCTCAGAGAAAAATCGAGAGGTGGAAAATGAGCAATTTGCGATTTAGCCAAGTCGGTGCGCATGTAGGGGCAAGAGCTGTTGTGTTGGGTGGGGAAGGAAAGAAGGAACGGGAAGGCGAGAGAGAAAACGGGGGGGATGAGTTGCGAGAGGCGGCGACGGCGCGTTGGGTGGTGAAGCGATTACTAGTTGGAGCCAGAGATTCTCGGCATTGCAGACAGTCGCTCGACGTGCCGGAGATACAATTGGGGCTGTTGAAGTCCTGCGTGATGTATGATATGCCAGAGAAGGGCTATTCGTTTGGCTGATACAGCGCCCGGAGAAAAAAAAAGTTGTAGTGAATCCAGAACGAAGTCGCAAAGGACGGCGGACACTGGCGAGGATTATCTCACAGCACCAGTTTCCCAAGGTGCGCAGCCACTCAGCTCGTCGCGCTTGGGCTTGGGGTCTAAGAGCCTAGCCACTTCCCTGTGGTTGAGCCTGGGAGTACCGCCAACAGCTGTAAGCTATTGTCAATCACGGCCAGCACCCCGATCCGACCGGCGGTGCAAATTGTTCGGATCATATCTACCGCCGGCCTCCGAGGTCTGGCCTTTTGGAATTCGATCGCAACTTCCCCAGGAATAGCATGCGGGAGATCTGCCCAATGGCTGCGTCTAAACAAACCCCACCATCGGACCCCAGCCGGTACGAAGTACAATGGTACTTACGAACGGGATGCTTCAAGTTCTCTCGTTGAGTCCCACATCACTGAAGCCACAATGAATCCATGATTGCCCAATTGCCCAACGCGCTATTCCGAAAGAGCACACCGAGCTCTTCTTTTCGAACCCAACTCCAGGTGATGTGGACTGTGTTAGTTGTGTTCTCGCCTGTAAAGGTCTCTAGGAGCGGTCTCCATTCATAACCTTGGAAATTGTACATGTTGCATGCATATAGGCCTGTTCCTCGCTCTGGAAAACGCAATTCCCTGCGGGTAGGCGAGCTGACGCATCTTGGAAACCCGCCATAACGAGTTTGTTATCCTCCTAGAATACAGCCCAAAAATGTAAGAGCGATACAACCGTGAATGAAGACAAAGGTGAGAGACGGTATGGTCGAAAAAGACGCACCAATCGGCAAATTTATGCGTAAGCTGGGGTTCATTACAAGCAGGAAACTCAGTTTTGGGTTATTCCTCACCGACACTTTGCATCCACCTGGTCTCTATTACATCCCACATAAGGAACACCCCTGAGCATTGAGAGTACCAGATTAGGTCGGAGGCTTATCTGGGCCAGGTGGTGTGCGGAGACGGTGAGTCGCTGGACATTCATTCGCCTCTAATGCTACTACTACCATGTGGTATCGAGCATCGGCCAAGACTCAGTCAAAATATATCGTGGAGGAGACCCAGAATCGACGGCTTGGACCTACAGTCAAACCACCCAGGCCGTCTCCATAGAAGAATATTGCCACTGAACCATGTTCATCCGATGGTCAACTAGTCGAGTGCAACCTGCGCACCCCGACGAGCTGCTAGCGTACCGAATATGAGCTGCCGAGAAGATGTGAGCAGGAGCTAAAGGGTAAGGGTAGTTTGAAGCAACATAATGCACGAAACCCAGCGATGTGATGCAGACCTCACTGTGTGGCAACGATGCCGTCGCATGGAAGAGCCAGCATGTAGTGGCCGTACCCAGCTTCGGGCACGCTCGACTGCTAGTGACAGCCGACCTAGGTAGTTTGCTGCCATCTGGAAACGGCGGAGCCATTTACATGGACGCGTTGTACATGGGTGGGGCCTTCCAGTGGGAGGATGCCAGCTCATTGTGCAGCAAAGACGTCGCTGAAGCCGGATGAAGTGGCCAAGGTGGGCAGTAGGTATAAAGAGGCGGTGGACGAACGCAGCGACCCAGTAAAGTGAACACCAATCCGTCGACTCGTCAAATCCGACTCTTATTCGACTTGGCCTCATCATTGTTGTCGTTGTCGTTATCGTTATCGAGCGCAAGTTGTGAAGCATCTTGGGATTTTTTGCTGGTTCAGCCCCACCACGGATACATCGAAATTCTTTGCCTTGGGGTCACATATTGGGCCGCGGCGCCGCGCGCAGCAATCAGCGGGAGGGAGATTCAGCCCTCAGTCCATTGCCCACTGAGATGCGGCGCTGCCTTTTGCTGCGGCTCTCTGACAGCGGAACAATGTGACGAACCCGTGCCCTGTGCTGGCTCGGATGCCGGTTTTGGTCCATGATTGGCGCAGAGGGAATCCAGTGGTTTCCTGCCAGAGTCGGCAGAGGACTGGGCCTGAGTATGCTGCGGCCAATGAGGGCGATGAACTGCCACTTTGTCGCGGGCACTAGGCTGCCCAGATATCCTTATTCGGTCGTACGTCGATCATTTTTTTTTTCTTTGCTGTCTTTGTTGTCAAAAAAGACGTCCGATGTTCCAATGTTGAGGGCAAACGGCGCGCAATCTGTGAGGGGAGAATGGGATGACGCACTGCCGGCCTTTGAGATGGAGATGGGAAGGAACGACGAGAAGCGGCGCCTGCTGACGGAACACTCGCCGAACCTAGTTGGTGGGGAAGGGAAGGAGGGGCCGGCGCATCCCAATTCAAGCACACCTTCCTCGTGGCGCCGAATTGAATACACGCTGGACTGAAGTCAGTCGCTGGCGATGGCAGCGACGTTCTCGCGGTACTTATTTCTCTTTCTACCTATCTTGACCTCAACACTCGCAGACACAATCACAATTGTTGGCTAGTGCTGACGAATATCCTCACGGTCGACTTTATTTTTCATTTAAGCTTACGTCTCTTATTATGACCAAGCAGGGAGTATCATGCTTTCGGCCAACACCACGACAATGACGTCCTGCAAGTGGCAGCGACCCAGAGTCAGGCGCTCCATGTCGATCCACCGGATTGGCCAGCGGACGCAACCTCCAGGGAGAGCCTTGAATCGCACTGCATCTACTTGTGCATCTGCATGCTGCTCTCCCATTCCGCAGAGAACCGCTGCTGCATCTGGCTCATCTCAGCCCAGTGCTAGGCCACTAGCACCATGACAGAGGGACCGTGCTGCAGCGAAGCATGTGTGCAGGACGGGCGGGAGACAGGGATGGATGCTCTGTCGATTGCATATCGGAGACCGACCATAGGGAAGAGGAGAGCCCACAACGCAACGCAGTGCACAGCTACAGCTACAGCGTATGCAGTCATATGTGATATGATGGGTGGCTACGGATACCTCCAGTGAGAATCAACCTGCCAGCTATTACGAGAGACGGACCCCGTTCTCGAACTCGAATGCGATCGAAAGAGGCCCAGTTGAGGCCCTCTTGGTGTGCCTGTCGGCCAACCAAATGGACCCTCTTCCACTTTGGGGGACTGGTGAGACATGCGCAGGGAAAATGGCCAAGAAGGATGCGGTTGGTTGCCGACAAAAAAGCAAGAAAGCGGCGACGGAATCGGAGGCGCGAGAGGCGCGTGGGATAAAGCCACTGCCGGAGAAGACGAAAGAAGCCAGCCGCAAGAGACAGCCCAGCCCAGGGACGGGAAACTCTGACGAGATAGGATAGTATGGGATTCCGAGAGGCATTCAGCGGCAGCGACGGCGACGGCGACAATGACAAAAGCAGACAGGAGTTTCTCAACGACATCCCGACATGGACAAAGACGCACCCAAAGAGCAGCCGATGCGGATGATGACTACGACGCCAGTCAAACATACTCACCACTCCCACACCACACCACACCACCACTCTGTCGTTGCGCTCTCAACCTGATTCTAGCCTCTGGATTCTCGACTGTTCGTATGCACCTACAAGCAGCTTGCGCCAACTTTCAGCATCCATACCACCCACCAACTCAACCCACCTACCTCTCTCTCTCTGTGCGCACTGCCTAGCGTCAACTTCCGACTAGATTGGCGGTGCAGTGATAGTCCATCATCAACGGTTGGCGAGCGAGAAAGAGCTGGTTTACCGTCCAAGACGAAGCGGCCTTGACAATTCTCCCGGAAACGCTAAGTCGGCCTGTGTTCCTATTCGATCCTCTGCACTCCATCTCGGCTTCGACTTCGTCACCTAAGCAGGCACTACTCGCAGGCACACCTCCCCGCCGGTCTAGGCGTTGCTCATTCGAGACGGGGCCCTAATGAATGAGCCGCAGCCTGCCTTCTTTTTGACAGTCATCGCCATCAGTCGATAGACCTGCGGGCATTCCCCAGCCACCCTCGCTCGGACACTGCAACTCTACACTAGGGTCATCCAACAAGGCAAAGGCACTTTTGGAGATACGAATCGTTAATCCATTGTGCACATGATATCGTTGCCTCGAAAGGTTTCGCAGAAATCACAACTGGCCGGACTACACTCCCCTCTCGTCATCACGGATCTTAACACAAACAGTGCCCGCCTCGCCCGCCGCTCGAATTCGAGGCTAACTACTAGAACTAACACCTTGCAACTCTCCGACCTCTAAACCTTGCTGCGAGTAGCCGGACCAACTGACCGTTCGGATACCAAACTTCAACTGAACCAGTACCCTGGAAGGTCTCCCAGACAGGCCTAACGCGTAACTGACTTCTCGGCAAACCTGTCTCGCTTGTTTCCCCCGGGCTCTCTCGCGCGCAAAACACGCCTGATAAATGCGACCCCGACCCTAGTCGCACCAGCCAGTCCCCGAGTGCGCGCCGTGCAGGCCCTCGTCGCAAAGTGGCCTAAGTCCCAGAAGCAAACGAAACAATCGAAGCCTCCACTTCCTCCTACACGGCCTGTCCAGGCTGTGTTACCCCCCTCATTGCGCCTCGTCCAACATCCCGTCAACTTCGTTGTGGTGCGAGGCCTTCTTCACGGTGGCTTCAGGTCGAGAACGCGCGCTTGCGCCGGCCTGATCGCTTCCATCTTCACCAGTTGTTCCTGCCTTCTCATTGCGTCTCGTCTTTGTAGACGCAACCGTCGACGTTCACTTCTAACGGTGACAGAGGAATACTGGCGCCGCTTATTCTCCGTCTTTGCCGCGAGCTTTTGTTCTCCGCCGCCGCGCTTGCCTTTCATATAGGGTGATTGCTTGGTCACAGGACTCTTCTAGTCGACGGTGCCGGCTCTGTCGATACTGGCCGCGCGCTTTGCTTCCTGTCTCTTACCATAGTTGTTTACCCAGTAACTCTTCGCCCGTCATCACCGGCTAGCATAGCCGATCCGCTCGTTTGCTAGAACCCCGCGTCGCAGATGCCTATCTCGTCTCCTCTCCGGTCCAAGATCTCTCTCTTTTATGAAAACCGTACGGGAAGTTACCAGCCCTTCTCGCGATGGCTTACTCCTTTACAGAGGAGGAAAAGGTAAGCAGCATGTCTTCATCCGGTCACGGACCA